TTGGATGTTTTTTTATTAGCAATTTGTGTTTCAGATGTTCTTAAAAAACATGGCAAGAAAACTGAAATACACTATTGGAATGGTATAAACGAAAGGTTTGGTCGTTTTAAAACCTTGACTCTTACAAACTGTGGTAAACCTTGAAAATGGTTCTAGTCCCATGCCTACTGTGCATAACAAAATCTTGGTGGTGCTGCATTTTTACTATGATCAGAGGACAAACCTCTTTTACAACCAATTCAATGAATAATGAATAATACGAACTTGGCACTTATGAGCTGTGTTCATAATACAGTATTTAAAAATGAAACACCACAATTACTGTAGTACACAATACACAAACACAACATTAAAGCTGCAATAAGGATCAGATAAAAGGTCAGGAGAAAAAAAATATATATAATATATAAAAAAATATATATATATATAAACGCTGGTCCGCATTCAACAAGTAATGGAACGTCAATGTGTTCTTCAAACCTGGTTCATAATTGTATTATATTTTCACCAAATTAAACTTAAATGTCTGTACATGACATTTCTAAAAGGTAACATTTAAAAAAAGGTCAAGATGTTTAAAGTTTATCTTGATCATCTTTTTTCCCCAATCAAAATACATTTGTTTTGTTTCTTTGCTCGTCTCTGAAATTTTAAATAGGCTACTGTATTCGGTTTGATGTTGCATGTCAGAAAGTTTTAGACATACACGATTCAATTAGTCTGAACAATAAAAATATCTCAGTCATCCTTTGCTACGACAGCTTGATCAGAAAGACTGCTTTTTACTGGTTAATATCAAACAATATACATTGAATCCATTTTGCTTCCTTTTATTTGTCTTGGATGTTAGTTAAAGTCTGCACCAGCAGAGGGCGATCTCGACACACAAATGTTTGTTGTACTGTAACTTACTTTTGCCCCTTTCCTAGTTGTTGTGATTATTCGAATAAATGAACGAGGAAAATGTCCCAGAAATACAATTAAAAATCCTAATCACTACTTGTACTCGTCAACACTGACATGACATGGGCCAACCTTGACAGATGATGTTTCATGATATTATCATTGCGAATTATGTAAACAAAAAATAATTACTTAAGTGACTAACACCTGATGATAATAATAAATATAGCTAAACAGCCGTGCATCGTGATATATCATAACTTGACCAGATGCTGCTTACCAATGACTGTAAAAAATATGGACGACGCGACAGCCCCTTTTGCCATTGAACGCCTTGAGGGCAAAACGCCTGCTTGACGGGCACAAACTGTCGCAAAAGACTGCTGAAATTGGAGCCAGACATGCGCAGAAGGACTGTCTGATGGAGCCAGAGGAGGAGCCGCGATAATGAGCAGAGTCGAGCTTCCAACCAAACGCTTTATGTAAAATCAACCACGCCCCCCGAACTTCTCACTCGACTGCCGGTGTCTGCACTATAACAAACGCTCACTGATGTAAATAGAAGCACTTACATTAAAAAAACACAATAATATACGGTTTAAAAACGGTGTGATGTAAGCTGTTAAACTTTAATAAAAGCAATACATGGTGGACTGCAGAAATAAACGATCTTTTATACACTCTAGCCTGAATATGAGCACAAATAATATATTCTCTTATTGTTATATTTGTTGTTGGTATTTGTTATCTTCATAGGGGTAGAAATAACACTTGTAAAATATGAACAATAACACATAAACAACACATACATTATAGGAAAGGTTTTTATTTTTATTAGCATCAACAGAACCCAAAATATAGCCTACACACCATAACGATTTACCATGCGGGAACAATCGTGCGTTTAGAAGATAAATACAGCAAGATTACTAAATATCAACAGGATATTTACACATCCCAACCCTGCAATTTGTCAATTTGTGCAAAAAAACTTTGCACTATTAATACAACGTCTATCTGCTGTAACATCACTAGTATATTGTTTATTCATTTTCGCTTGAATTGTTTATTTATTTAATTTTTTTGCCTCCGTTTTCATTTGGTTTATTCGATGCCTTCATTATATCTGGCAACGAGGAATTTACATTCTTTTTAATGTTAGCTGGAGTGTTCAAATAAAACGCCAACAGTAAATGATGTAAATAAATAATATCTAACATTTACAGCTCTATTAGGTTATATAAGATTCGATTTCAAGAACCTTATAATGATTTATAACAGCAAATTCAGTAGATCACTTAATAACATGCCAAAACTTAAAATGCAGAGACGTCCTATAAAGCAAGTTCAAATAACCTTACAGGAGATCAACGTGGAGATTATTATTTAAACACAAAGAGAATTACTGCTAACGATCTCCTGTATACCCCGTACTTAAATGGGTTTATTTTATTGTGCAGTTTTATTGTCATTTTCGTATTTATTATTATTATTATTTAATACTTGTGCAATCGATACAGGTTTATTGTTATTTATTTTGTCCTTTATTTAAATAATTGCTATGCTGTTTGCATCTTTATTCAAAGGTTAAACTCAGTGATACACTTTGCGTTCACATAGTAGCATGCGTTTGTTGTTATATCAACAAAAATGGGTGTAATAACGTTAACAAATGTGAGGGTTTTATATAATGAAGATTCAATCGCGCCAGCTCCGGGCATCAGCGCATAACCTAGTCGCGGCGTCGCGGGCTGATTCCGGCTCGCATGCGGCAGCGCCTGCTGGCTCAATTGACTCAGGCTGGAATCGGGCAGTGAGTCCAGGCATCCGGAGTAGGTCCAGCAGAGGTAGTCAGTCTGAGGGGTAAGTCTCCGGCAGGCAAGAACTGGCCCCAGTGTATTTTGCTATCTGGGTGGCTAGGCGTGTATTAGCAAACTAATAAAGCCCGAAAAAAGCTTTGACCTTAGCGAATAAACAGTGTTCCACCAGATCATGTATGTCAGAAACTGTAGTTTACTGCTGAACTCATTTTGTCATAGTAAAATATCACAGAAATCTAGTAATAACACTTCAGTCTCCTACCGAAGCTCAGACGCCGCGCTTTGAGAAACTGTCAATCACAGCTGTTAATCACGATGACACGCCCAGCATTAAATTACTGCTAAAAACAAACTGTTTACAAAAATGAGGATCTGGACCTATTTCAGCACAATAACCAGTGCCTTAATCCACCAGAACCATCTTTCGGGACATTTTATTGCAAGTGTAATTAATTTTTTTATTTGGGCTCAAGTCTCCTTCATTAACACGGAGGAGGCGGGCTTTATGACTTGTACTGCAGCCAGCCCCCAGGGGGCGATCTAACGGCCGAAACCTTCACTCAAACGTAGGCTTGCGGCACACTTGCTGCTTACACTTACAACATGCCACGGAATGGCAGAGCACGTGACTCAAAAGACTCTCCAACACAGCATTTTCTGACCTCTCATATTTACAGCTCAAACTTCAAAGCCAAGCTAAACAGCGTTCAGTCAAAGTCTAGACATGTAACCAACAAGCAATGATAGATTGTGATTTAAAGAGGTTTTACTCGTCAGCATGATGTTCAAGATAGAAACTCTGGCTTTTTCGTTAGTTTCGAGAGCTCCTGAATCTAGGTGTACAGTAGGCCTACCTTTCCTTGTGTCATCAAAACTCGATGCGACTCCAAACTACATCCCAGTTTATAACCGTATTCGCTGTTTTCCCCTGGATAGCGTGCTAAAAGAGAAAACGTATGTAAATATGAATATTTCTCAGAAATTGTGGGCTTCATGAGCACCTTTTTTGTGGAGCTTCAGGCATCCACATTTGTTTTACCAATTTGTTGTGCAGCATAAATGTTTTTTCACTGTCATTTCACAGAGAACAAAAATACTAACCTGGTCCAAAGAGGTGTTTTGTGATGTCGAAAAAAATGCCATTTTTGTTTCTCTGACAGCGTGACAGCGGCAGTTTCAAGTTGACAAACACTTTCAAATAGTTCGCGATAAAAAGTGCGTGTGATCACCTGAACGTGCGCGCGCACAATTTACCTAGTAGTAGGTGGGTTATTTCCGATGCTAAGAAAATGCTAAATGATCTTTCAACTTAAAGGGATATTTCACCCAAAACATGTAATTTCTGTCATCGTTATTCACCTTACACTTGTTCAAAACCTTTCTTCTGTTGAACACAGAAGATATTTCGATCCAGGTATCTGGCACTTTCGCAGTAATTTATTTTTCTATGGAAGTGGATGTTGCCAGCAACAAGCATTTTTAAATCATATTTTTTGTTCAACAAAAGAAAGAAAAACTCACATGAGAGTAAATTGGGTAATTAAATTTTTGGGGTATTGTCTTAACAGAACATCCTAAAAACCAGGCTTTTATATCATAGATAAAAATCTAGGATTTAATGGTCTTCGAACATATTGGATGTTATTGAATAAAATGTATAAATAGCAGTTAGATAAACAAGAAAAGGCCTTAATCTCTGGAACCAGAAAAAAAAAATGATTAAAAAAAGATGCTGATCTAAACTGACATATGACCGCAACCTTAAAAACTACGGATACACAAGCAGATATTAAGAGTGAAAGGTTTAGCGGAAATGGTTAAATATCATGCCAGCCTTATTGGTTTCTATAGTGATACCCTCAAACCACATTTGAAGAGGTTGAACACCACTGCTTCACATAAAGTATTATTAAATGCTTAATCGCCTTCTCTAATCCGGCATTTTTTCATGGGTCAACCAATACAATTTACCATGTATTAGCATTAAATGTTGACACTCATATGCTAATTTTTGATAATGTAATAAGTATTACAACTGTTGCTGATTGTTGAGATTTGTACCCTTAAATGTGATTCATAATCATCCAGTTCCACAGAATTTTATGACGTCAGAACAGCTTAGTCTCAAATTTTTAAAAGTAATGTGAAATTGGATTTATGCACCATTAAGATCAACAAAGAGGTCCAAGAAACACCTTTAAACCACATTATGGCCTTCTAACAAGTTAGCCATGCTTGCATGAAATCCCCATGGAAAAAAATACAGACTTCACAGGATTTCCATGACAGAATATTTATTATTCATCCATTCACAGGTTAAGTACAGAAGATAAAGGCACAGCATTTGTACATTCATGGATCGCCTCTTACATTAAAGCAGCTTGTTACCATACTCACATTTAAGCTTTAGATGTAGTGAAATGACTTGCATCACAATGCAGAATGGTTCACTGGGTCAACCAAAAACAGGTTACTAAATCTTTAGTAATCACTTGATACAAATATTGTCAGTGTTCTAGACTAAAACTGTAAGACTTGTCTAAAACATCTTGGGCCTAACAGCAAAACATTGATAAAATTGAACACAAATTCACATTAAAATCAAACAAAAGTCATTTCCAGAATGCAGAGAAAGCTCTAATTGCTTTACATTAGGGGGTAACTGGCTGATGTCGCAATGCCACAGTGATTCTTTAGGTCTTTAGCCATGTAAATGTAGCCTTTGTCACCCCATCTGTCAGTCCAGCTAAAGGAAATTAATAAACATGCAGTTAAGGTAGTGCCAGCAAAACAAAAAATGTATGCATTAAAATAATAATAATAATAATAATAATAATAATGTTGTTAAGTAAATCGTACCTGTTCTTCACGATCCAGTACCTCCTTCCAGCAACATCAACCCCCTCATAACCATAACCAACCACCAAGACTCCATGATCAAGTTCTTCGGTGCTGCATGCCTTCTCGTAATAGATGCCTAAAGTTCAGTATTAGAAAAGGAGTTAAACCTCAGACTTTCAGAGCAAGTTAGGGCATGTCATTTGGTTATAGTTGTGCATAAGCTACCACTTAAGCAAAAATCCAATTCCAACAACAGAGTTACCCACCAGACTGATAGAACTGGAAGGATTCATGTCCTGCATCAATAGCAACAGCTACAGGACCCACAGCAGCAACAGCCTTCATAAGAGCATGCTCTTTACCACTGGGGATGTCAACAAAACCGGTGACATTTGCAGCACTATAACGGGGGTCATAATGGCATGGCTGATCATCCTGCAAGCAAAACAAAAGGAACATTAGAAGTGAGGTCTCAAATTATTAAGTGGTCTCTACTCAACGTTATTTTTATAAAGTTAAATGTAAATTTTTGATAATCTTCAGATAACTTAAAGAGGATGAGAAACATGCTAGGAAACTGGCATAAAAATTATAAAAACTTAAATTGTTGAAACTGGGGGTGCCGATTTGGAAACATCTATGCTAGAGAGGTAAATTTAACCAAATGATTTCAATGAGTTTGACTAAATAAGCAAAACAATTGAGATGGTGTGAAATGAAGACTGGTCCAGTTATTAAGTCTGGCTATCCAAACACAAGTTCTGCTGAGGTAAAGTCACAAGATGGTTGCTTGTCAAGGAAAAAAAAAGATCATATATGCAAACAGTGATAGCAATCTATCATTCAAGTCAACTAAATTACAACATATGGGAACATGACTAATGACACAGGAGCTAAACCCTTAAAATTTAAAAATGGTTCTTACCGTTGCAAGATAAGGGTATGACTCTTCAGAGTCCAGCCCGTTGTTGTCTTGAACATATTGGAAGGCCTGGTCCATGAGGCCTCCATCACAACCATTATTGCCCTGTGGTCTGGAACAGTCCATCAAGTTTTGCTCACTCAGAGAAACCAGCTTTCCGGTTTTCCGGAAGACTTGACCCTCCAAGGCACCTGTTGAACTGAAAGCCCAGCAAGATCCACACCGTTTCTAGGACCACAGGACAGACGAGTCACCAAACAGTAAAGACACACATGCTGAACTTTAGAAGGAAGTTATATTTTAGCTGTATAAGAATTTCAATAGATGCATCTTTAATTCATCAGAAAACATTTGCACATGACTTGGAGCTCACCTGGTCTTTGATAGGAGTAACATAGCCCTTCTGTCTCCAGTCAATCTGTTGAGGGGCTGTAAAAAAGCTGGGTTCTATGAACAATGAGCCCTTTGACTTCCGGTTGGGGTCACGGTTATAACCATTCATTGCCTGTCTGAACTCCTCATTTGTCTAACAGAGAGAATGTAGAAAAAAGGTTTTAGAAGTCAGCCTTAAATTAGAATTTAAAAAAGGATCAAAAGAAACTCATTTGAGAATAAAAATGTAACTTTACAGTGCAATAGAATGAAAATGTGGATACAAGTTCAAAATATAGATACAGCTGAATAAAAGTGCATGGAAATGGCATACAATGAGCATTACAAGTCATCGTTTCCTTATTCTCATATAAATTCCAGTCAAAAACAGGCCAATAGGAGCACATTTTAATAAACAAACAAACAAACAAACAAACATGCAACTCTGACAACAACTCCTTGCTAAAATAAACCTCTTTACCACTTCAGTTGAAAGGAATCTACTCCATTTAATTTATTTGCTTACTGATATGTTATAGATTATTTTGCACATGTACATTTTAGAGTATACATCACACTGTGTGTGAGAGCATCAGAGAAGAGCTCATTACTATTCATCATCTGTCAAAATATGGTCAAAAAACAAGCACATTGTTTCAATGCATTCTATGACATATTTAAAGTATAAGGGGCTTATGCTGCAAAAAAATTTTTTTAGTTGAACTTTTTAAACTCATACTTGGTTTTCTAACTTTTTTGGTCTTGCTTTTAGTCTAAATATCTAAAAAATGTTTCAAGATTTTTTTTTTCTTTACTCTTTAGCAAAATTATCTGCCGATGGGGTAAACAAAATCATCTCATGTCAAATTGAAAAACAAGAATTTTTTTTGTTTAAAGAAATATTCAGAAATTTTGGCATATTCTTAAAAAAAAGACAATTGTTTTGCTTGTCTAGAAAATGCTTCTTGATTTAAAATTTTAGACTAGAAACAAGAAAAAAATCTAAGAAAAGCATTTTTGCAGTGTAAATCTTCGATTTAAGTTACTGACTGTGATTAAATCATTTAACAAAAAACTGCATTTCCTGGAACTGAATGTGCTTAAAAAAATGATCTGGTTTCACACTGATGAAACGCCACACTTGATTTCGATGACATTTTTTCTTTGTAAAGCTGATTTGACAATTTGAATTGTATAAAGCAAAATAGAAATAATGACTATATTACTAAACTGCTCACCATGTCACCAAATTGATTCATTCCCAGTCTGAAGGTGTGTTTGCCCACTGAGTGCTCAAGGTTGTGTAGCTCAATTTTTTTCAAGTTCTTTTCCCAAACCATTCTCCTCCAGCCCTCCTCTTTCTGGTCAAGGAAACAGACATTTTATCTATTTGCAAAAAGCCATTTTATTATAAAGACAAATATTGCTTGACACTCATTTTAATCTATTACAATATTCCCACCTCATGATAGCTTTTTTCATGCCAGCGCTTCCAGAGGTGCCAGTGGTCATCTAACTTCTGGTCTAGGGTTGGAGCAGCAAACACTGCGCTTATGCACAGTGTGACGAGTGAGGCAAACAACAGCATTCTGCCTGCAAGACTGGGACAGAAAAAAAAAACAAGACTCAATTAGAAGGAATGTCAAAGTTGCAAGAATAAAATAACATTTTAACCAATTACTAGGAATAGCGATTTTAAATGCATTCAAAATAATTCAAAGCTGCATGCAAACAACTTACAATATATTGCTCAACTTTAAGTTTTAATAACTTAGAAAAACATTTAGACTAGGTGAACTTCACATCAAAATCTGTGCACTAGAAACAATAATAAGCCTCACATAAATTTAGCAAGCAACGTTTCTTAAGAAGAAGAGTAACAGCAAATTAAAGATATAAACTTACCTTTCACAAGCGAAAGAAATGTTTGACTGTCAATGTTTACATCTAAGGGTGTTTTAAAGCGCGTCCAAGCACAGAGGTGATCTCTCATTGGCTGACGGTAAAGATGAGCAAAGTGTTTACAGCCAATCAGGTTCAGCAAAAACTTCATTTTCTCATGTGTTTCATCATTACAAGATCGAGAATTCATCAATGGAATACTGATTCTTGTATTATTAGCCTACTTTGACAAGATTAAGTTACATTCAAAAATACTTTACCTAAATCCACAGCTAAAAACAGTACAACTTTCCTGTATTACTGGATAGCTTAATAAAATTGATTATTCATAATATGGGTGACGTCTATCGTTGTTTGTGCTTGTCAAAGAAGCGTAATCTGACAAGTTCAGACAGAAAATAATCCAAGTGAAAACACAGAGGCCATTTAGAAAACTCTCCGAGTAAGCGTTTTTAAACAGCTTCAGAGGCTCGTGTTTTGTGCTGGCATTTAAAATGCTAGAAATAGCAGACACAGTTCTTATTACCTAGGCTTGATCTTGGAATTATGATTGCACAGCACATTTGTGACATCATTTGCATACAGATGGTCTTTTCACTTTTAAGCCTTTTGTTATTGTTTATGTGAAAAACAAACAATAAGTCTACATGCAAAATAAAATAATATTTCTGAACTTTACATATAGTATTACATAGTATTAATGATTATATATACAATGCTCAGCATAACCAAGTACACCACATTTGAAAATGAATGTTTTTATCCATTTTTCAGTGAATATAGACAATGTATTTTAGTGCATTTAAACAAAACAGTTTTATTAAACATATATTTATTACAATAATATTTTAGTCACCAAACATTTAGAAATTGAAAAATAATACAATTAAATTCAAGCTAAATTTCAAAAAAAAAATTACAACAAATTTTCAACCAAAAGTTAAAATTTTTTGCTTCTCTTGATTTTTCCTCTTTTTAAAATTAGTATTCAATATTTTTCTAAAACAATACAAAATAACAAAAGCTATTTTGTTAGATAAGCTCCAGATTTGGCTTTAGTGCTGACTAATGCAATGTATATTGTTGGAATATACAATCAATTCCATGCGTGTTCAAGAAAAAAGGTCAGGAGAAATTTTTCCTCAATGTCAAAAATCGTAACAATTTATTGGAGAGAAATGAATAATTCTATTCACAGAATTCTGTTATCCTCAATGCAATGCAAACGTTACATTAAGGAGGTGCACAACAACTTTCTTTTCCTGACTACAACTTATATAGGCAGCTGATATTAACAGGTGAAGCTTAGTAAAATTCGTAATTTGTCAGTCATTGTTCAGTCCTCCATTGGCCGCACCCCAGACATACTTCCTCTTTTTCTATGAATTTTCTGCACAACATTAAAAGCATACGACTTTCTGTGTTCTGTGTTCAGTTTTAACACCTTTCTTCAGACAGGAAGTTTCTGCAGAGTTTAATTTTGGACCAGCATTTATCCACTTCTGCAAAAATGCTAATTAGTATGCACAGCATCCCACACATAACAGTAGTAGTTCAGTTAATATATGACCCTTACATGACCTTTACAAATAATTGTTTGATTAAAAGAAAAAGAGTCAAAAATAGTATAAAAAAACTGATTCCTATTTTGTAACAATATGCACAAATGTAATATTGTGTAGCTTCCTATTAAAAATATGAATTTAAAAGAGATCTGTGAGGGGTGTACTTATATATGCTGAGCACTGTATATGGTATTATTGTTCTAATAAATTGTATCAATGTATATTTATATTTATTTTTTATTTATAGTTTCAAACCTATTTGTTTGTGGAAACTGTGATACATTCTAATTTTTCAAGTTTTTTTTTTCAAAAGTATATAATCATTTGATAATTTCATTCATTTAAAATAAAACAATTAATAACACTGCGAAATAATGTTTGTAATGTGTGTGTGTGTGTGTGTGTGTGTGTGTGTTTGTGTGTGTGTGTGTGTGTGTGTGTGTGTGTGTGTACTTTGGAATGGTAATATATTGTGGCTTCCACAAAAACATGAAGCAGCTTAACTGTTTTAATTATTAATAATAATCCAAATTGTTTTTGAGCACAAAATCGGCATATTATAATGATTTCTGAAAGATAAATGGACACTGAATACTTAAGACATAAGACTACTCCTCGAGTCAGTTAGCTTCTAAGAAAGCTTGAGTGATAAATCACCAATAATAACTTTTAAATTTCACTTATTTGAAATACAAAACAAACAAAAAGTTGCATTCATCCTATTGTCACTTAAGAATTATAAGGTTCTAGCTGACATTTTTGTCAAAGTTGAGTTATTGACTTATTTTTATTAAATGACAACTTATTTACATTATGGGATGTTTTTTAAGTTGTTTACATTAAGACTTTTTATTTAAAAAACAAATGTTACACACATACTTTTTGCTATATGGTATGCAAAAACTTTAAAACTCAATATCTCAAAATCATTCAGAACGCAGATAGAACCTTATAATTCCAAGGTGACAATGTCTCAAACATAGCAAGCAACAGAAAGAAAATCTGTGATGTTGTGTACATTTAATTGAGTTTAATTTATTTGTTCCTGTAAGTTACAACTTTCAAAATATTTCAAAAACATTTGTACATTTCAACAATCTAAATTTGAATTTATCTGATTCGCCTAGCATTTAAGTATTTTACCTAGCTTAAATAAATCTTCATCTGTTTCTCAATAGAAAGCGGTGACCTGTGACCTGTTTATTTTAGGTGACTGTGTTGTGTGAATATACTGTTTAACATGATTAATTTGGCCAGTTAGCAATTGATGTAATCAGTGCTTAAAAAGGAGCCAAATGATCAGAATGAGTGGAAACCAGACGTTAAACAAAGCAAAAAAAAAAAGATCAATCAGTCGACTCTTCCTGCCGATGAGCAGTGTGTTTATTCTAGAAAGATCACTCCGGACTCAGGAAGCTTTGTGGTTTACATCAGTAAGTGAATCAGATGTCCTGTACATAAAGCATTTCTCATTGCAGAAATAGAAAGAGAAACTTTCCTTACTTACTTCAGTTCCTAACCAAACTATTAATTATAATACTTACAGTAATATTTATTTATAATTACAGTATTTACACAGAAATCCACAGTGATTTATCCATAAGACCGGGCACATTTACTCTTGTACACTGCCACTATCTGAACAACAAGAGAAATGGAGATTGGTTTGATGAATTATGTTGAATGTTTTTTCACTTTTTTACTCCAGATGCTTCAGATCAACAAAGGAGACTTTATTTACAATTAATTGTTTTTCAATAAAATAAATGGTGCTTATCCCAATTCATCACATTTTAAAGCCAGATCAGAGGATTAAACTGAACTGCCAATAAACAAATTATCACACCAGTAATACAATTCTTTCTTTCTTTCCATCTTTATCCTACTTTTTTTATCATGAAAAAGTCGACGGTTAAAGGGACAAAACACTAATTATACATATTATAGTACAATTAAAAGTTAATAAAAGTCATAAAAGCAAGAATGATTTAAAGGGACACTCCACTTTTTTGAAAATAGTTTCATGTTACATCTCCCAGAGGGTTAAGAAAAGTCTCATGATTTAAATAGGAAAACTTTTTTTGAGCGAGATGCTAATGATCTAATCTGATTCAATTATTTATGCTAAGCTAAACTAAAAAAGTGCTCTCACCAGAAACAGACATCGGCTTGGTGGACTAAAAATGGTAAAACTCTGTTCTGTTTAGGGTAGTGGATAGTGTAAAGTGGAAGATTTCTTAATACTAAACTTATAACTACCTACCAGTCAACAAAAGTTATTTTTTCCAAGCAATTCTTCTATCTTTCAGTGTCTTTTTAAAAGCAGTCAATTTAATATAATTCATCAGCATAGTAAATCGAATGTCCAATACTACAATTGCGTATAGGTTATTTCACAGTCAGATAGCCATCACCGTCGCTGTCTGTGCATGTGCTCTTGGGTCTGTTCTGTCTTCCAGTGGCCAGCGCAGTCTTTCTGAGGTTTCTTTTCCTCTTCTAAGGGACATTGGTCAAGATAAATAATTAGTGGGAAAACATGTGCATGTATGTGTAAACCATTAAGTAAACCAACTGGTCAGGAGTATTTGCATAGAACATTAGTTAAATACAATATTTCCTGTTCTTTAAAAATGTCAGTTTTAGGATAATTACCCTATAGCAAACCACTCCAACAGTGATTCCACAAAGTACTATAAAAGCTGCTGCTCCACAGCCCACTGAGATCACCAGGATGGGGAGACCTGAGGACATCAACACAACAAATTTCAACACACTCTTAAAAATCTAAGGTTATATTTTAACTTAATTGCTGAATTGAGAATATTGGGTCATTTCTGGATTATTTGGAGTAGTTTTTTTGCATTAGCTGCTGGCTCAAACAAAGTCAGCGGGTTTACCTTGGACTCACGCAGCTTTTGTATGCTGTAACTGTGGGTTGTTTTTTAGTCCAGTGTTCGTCCACATATCTACCACAGCACCATTTATAGGACAACTTTGTATGAAAGAGACTAAATAAAATCACAGGAATTGACTGAGATAAACTTATCATTTTTCAATGCATGGTTTGGATAAAGCTTTATTGAAGTACAAACAGGATACCTGTTGATTACACTGAAATTACTTTAAAATATTTATTTTTTAACTTCTAGGTCTGTTAAACTAGTTTTAATAGAAGCAATGTTAAATTAAGGATTAAATTAATCATCTATGAAATTAATCAAATTAGTTAGCATTAATAGTAACTGCAGTAAAGGTTAATAAAATCAACCAAATATTTAGGGTTAATGGAAATATGTTGCTGGGTCATTTAGCCATGTGTTCTTTCCTATACTAACCAAACCACTGAACCAAAACACAGCTGGGTAAAAAATAACCCAAACATGTTTTTGACACAACATTACTAGCCTTTTATTCAATCACCAAGGACCAGGGTTTTAGTTAGAAATGATCTCAATTCTGCAAAAAATGGAAGCACATGAAAGGTTCTGATGCAAAAACCTCTAAATGCCGTCTAGAATTTTCTTCTACAATGAGCATTTATCTCTGCCTTGCATGTTTATGTTCAGTTATTTTATGTTAAAATCTATCTTAAAAAATAATTGTCGTAAAAGTGAAATTAATAAATCCAGACACAGGAGGCTGAGAAAAATGCTAATTTTAGAAGAAAATTTCAGATGGCATTTAAAGGTTTTTGCATCTCTTCACATTTTCAAATGTCTAAAGATGAACACATTTATTTTTTCAAGAATAGCATATTAATACTTTATTCAACAATTTCCAGTAGCGCTTAAACTTACCGTATGTGTCGTGCATCATACTTAATCCTGAATGCAAAATGTTAATCAGATATGGGCATAACTTTGATAAAAAGCTATGCATTATTTAACTTTAAAAAATGGAGTGATCCCGCTTTCCTTAAAAGCAACAAGTTGCCTTTACTCAAAAAAGTGAGTAAGCTTGTTCAAACTACTTGTGAAAATGAGCTGAAACAACAATTCTTGACATTTCATTAGGAGAGCTTAATTATTTTTTTTTATGTTCAAACCATGTAAATTTGTTAAAAGTGTTGTTAACTTAATCGATTTTTGTTGGAACAACATGAATGAATTGTGTGGAACCCTAAATTTTTTTAAAGGGTGTTGCAACCTGAAGCTGCTAAGTTGACTAAAATTAATATTTATAACATGTAAAAAAGTAAAATCAACTAATCCCTTTAGAAGCAAAGGGTTTACTTAAATTTTTAAGTAAAGTCAACAAATCGATTTACAGTGTAGTTATTACTTGTATGCATAATTATAAAATGAAATTTGTATAGCAACATAGAGAAACGATCATTTAAATATTCTTACCATTTTCATCTGGTGTCTTTTTGACCAGTTTAATTTGTCCTTGAAGACTTCCATGTGGAAAAGTAGTGACTTTATAGCAGTAAGTCCCAAAGTCGCTCTCTTGTAAATTTGTCAGTACAATGGTGTTGTTTGATTTGGCAGAAAGGCGACCAGCGTAGCTGATGTTCAATATACTGAGACCATGAACCGGACTGAACACAAAAACTTTCTCATCTGGACACCTGCTCCATTCAGTAAGGGTTACTATTAAACTTTTATCAACCTTAAAGTTCAAAGGTGCGTTCCCACCCAACAGAGCCTGAATTGCTTCATCTTCTGTCAAAGCCTCTAAGAAAAACCAAAAAGCACAAGAAGAGACATAAATACCAATTTAATGACATTAACAATTATTTTCAGACCTGACCTGAACAGCACAATTTCCCAATATGTAACATTTTTTAACAGTTCATGAATTGTGACGCCTAATGAAGTTTATCTACAGTGCTCAGCATAATTGAGCGCACCCCATTTTGAAAATAATTATTTTTATAAAATTTTCAGTGAATATAGGCAATGTATTTTGATGCATTCAAACAAAACAGATTTATTAAACAGATATATTTATTAAAATAATAATTTAGTCACTAAACACATTTGGAAATTGAAGTAATACAATAAAATTCAAGCAAATTATTGCAAAAAAATAAAATAAAAATCACAACCCACAACAATTCAACTAAATCTTTCCTTCTTTTTTTTGGCTTCTCTTGATTTTTCCTCCTTCTTAAATTAGTATTTTTGTTTATGTTATTCTATAACATAAATTTGGCTGTACTAGTTTTTGGACTGTAAGTTATTTAGTTAGATAGGCTCCAGATTTGGCTTCAGTTCTGACTAATATAATATTGTAAAACTTCCTATTAAAAATATGAATTGAAAAAAAAAAGAGATTTGTGAGGGGTGTAAATATACATGCTGAGCACATGCATAGATCATTTAAGTTATTTCTGGTTCATAACTTCTCATCAGCGTTCTTGAACATTCTTCAAATTCAAAGTTCATTATAATACATAGTCAAACACACACAGGAACGACTACTTCCATTCAAAGGTTTGACGGCAGAAAGACTTTCTTTTATAGCATGCAAATAATAATTATCAAAACTTTTAAACTTCAGATGCTGTTCTTTACAACTTAATGTCCATCAAAAAAACTCTACTCATCTTCAAATCGCAGCTATCATCATAATCAGAAATTAAATGTACAATGTATTAAAATGCCATTTTAAATTAGACTATATTTTAAAAAAATAATAATTTATCAAAACTTTTCTGTATTTGCTCTATTTTATATTAAATATATTCAGCCTTAGTAAGCAAAACAGAACATCTCACCAAAATCTTACGGACCAAACTTCTGAAAAGTAGAATATACTGTATATATATATATATATATATATATATATATATATATATATATATATATATGAAGAGATGCAAAAACCACAAAATCCAATCTGAAATGTTCTTCAAAAATCAAACATTTTCTCAGCCTCCTATGTTTATGTTTAGTTATTGTACTTTAAAGGCAATGAAAAGAAACTTTTTTATAGATTAAACTTTTAGTGGCAACTTTCATAGTTGTCACTATAAAAGTAAAATTACATAGTCTACACTCAGGAGTCAGAGGAAAATGCAAATTTTAGAAGAAAATATCAAATGACTTTTAGAGGTTTTTGCCTCTTTTATTTATTTATTTTTTCACAGCCACAGATCAACAGCTATCTTTATGAGGACTTTCCATTGCTTTTGTACTGTACAGACTGTATATTTTGTCCCCCTAAACCAACCCTTACAGAAACATTCTGCACTTTTACATCTTCAAAATACTTATTTCTATGTAATTTACTAGCCACTTCCCATCATGGACTAAGTAAAAAACCTAACATGCTTAAAATGTACACTACCGGTCAAACGTTTGGGGTCAGTAGGGTTTTTAAATAATTTTTAAAAATAATTAAAAAAAAAAAAAAAAAAGTTTTAAAATAAGCTTCTCCTGCTCACAATGGCTGCATTTATTCAATCATAAATACAATACAAACTGTAAAATTGTGAAATGTTATTGCACTATAAAATAACTGTTCAAAAGTAGTTTATAATTTAACTGAATGAATTAATCCAGTCATTTGAAGATGAATTTTCAGCTTCATTACTCCACAAGTCACACCATCTTTCAGAAATCACTGTATTATTTTTTATTATTAATTTTATTAGTAGTAGTATTATCATTAATGGTTATCGTAATAAAAGCAATAATGACTGTAGTAATAATTTAATTTGAAACTACATACAATAACAAAGCAGTTATTTAAAATTGTAATAAATATTTCACAATCAAAAAAATAATAATTACATTTAATAATTGATTCCTTCATTAACAGAATATTTTTCTTAAAAAAAAAATCCTTGAAAAAAGAAAAAAGAAAACTGACCCCAAACTTTTGACTGGCAGTGTAATAGAATAGCTATACATATAGGTCCCCGCAATGTTAAGAATACAAGGTAAGCACACCCACACACCTGTTATAAGTGTTATGAAGAGTATCAACAGACGAGTCCAATGTTGTTCAGGATGAGTGTGTCTGATCCTCATGGTGTCTTGCACTGTACAGGATGTGTGATTCAGTTAGACAACACTCGCTCTATAACCCATCAGTCGGGGGCAGAGTTTCAGAACATTTTATCTTAAAAAAACACTTCCTGTATAAAACTGGCATGTTGAAGTGATTACAGAGGAGGTGTGAAAAATGTGCTTTTTGTGAAACAGCCAAAGAGATGCATTTTGTAAGTGCAGTGTGTTTTAGTAAATAACTGAACATTCTGTTTAATCAACTGCTTTAATAACAATAGAATGAAAATATATAATCTACTTTTTGAAATGATTTTTATACGCACTCATGTTTTTGTGCTTTCTTTGTCTTGTTCTCACTGCACCCTGTGGTTTGCACAGAGGTAAAAGGGCCAGCGCTGCTCAGAAACCACTTCCTGTCTCCCCTCCTGCTGCAAATATAGGTCACTCATTATGGCCCTTGCACCGCTATCAACACAAGCTCAGACTAGAACAGCAGTCTGCCTTCTATAAATGACAGAATTCATTTAGACACATTTTCTTTCTTTATTTTTTCACACATAGTTAATTCATTATGTCATATGAATGACATACAGAACAGTAAAACACCTCAACGTAAGGTATCACACTGTTGTCAATAGAGAAATCTGTGTTCACATCATTTGTCCTGAGAGAGCACATTGCAGAGGTAGAAGCATGTTTATAGTCATATTGGATTGTACGTTGAGTTTCATTTGTATTTTTTGGTTTATTAGCACATGATAAATCAGTGTTCTCTGAGTAATCTCTTTCATTTTAAAGGGATACTTCACTCTACAGTTTAACATTCATTAATTTTCCTTCAGCTTAGTCTCTATTTCAGAGATCACCACAGCGGAATGAACCGGCAACTATTCCGGCATATGTTTTACGCCACGGATGCCCTTCCAGTGGTGGGAAACACCCATACACTCTCGCATTTATACTTGCACTCATGGCCAATTTAGTGCATTCGACTCACATATAGCGCATGTCTTTAGACTGTGGGGGAAACTGGAGCACCTGGAGGAAACCCACGCCAACATGGGGAGAACATGAAAACTCTGAAATGCCAACTGGTCCAACCCGTACTCGAGCTAACAACCTTCTTGCTGGGAGGCAACAATGCTAACCACTGAGCCACCGTGCCGCCTACAGTTTATTATGAAAATAATTAGAAATCCTCTTATGTCATTTCAAAACTGTATGACACCGAATAAATGTGTGGTTTATAATACAATGTTGCACAAATGTGCTCTAAACCTTTCACTGGTCTTCTGTAAAAGACTAATGAATGTGTCATTGTCCAAATGATTTTCGTTTTGTGTGTGGAACTACTTGAGAATAAGCTCATGAGTTTCCTTTTTGGGTGAACTTTGCCATTTTAAAGACAAATCTAGACATAAATCACAGACTCACTCTCCCTAATTGATCACCTCCATCCTGACAGATTGTATAATTCAATATCAAGGCAACTTTGAACATCATAAAGTCAAAATTTGATAGGAAAAAGTAAGAAACTCTGGATTTTCTAATTTTCATATCTTTTGTTTATTAGATTAGATTAGATTAGAAGGGAATGGTTGTGAATATTAGTAAAACCGTTCCACCCACAGCCAATCTTTCTAACATTTCTTTACTCATTTTCTCTGAAATTGTATATACTGTATATATCTCACTCACTGATTCACCATCACTTTTTGCAAATAAATCACTATCAATTGTTTACTAATTCTTGTTGTCCATCCTTACTTTGTAACAAAATTTACTTTTGACTTTCTGCATAACCAAATCTTCAGCTCAAATGTACAACCACACTCCCCTAGACTGCCAGGGGTTGTAACAATGCTTAGTTGGGTTCAAGTCCAAAAACACACACACAAAAAAACATGTTGGATAAAATGCTGTTAAACTGTGTACAAGGTACGCTACTATTGTAGAATTAATTAGCATACAATATAATAATAATAATAATATTATGGTAATAATATAATAGAATGCAAACAAAACACCTGATGTCTTTTTATTATTAAATATTTTAGATGTAAATGTCAAAGAATAATGTTTGTTTTAACCTCAATATTATATCGATAGTTTGAGTATCAGATTTAATTTATAAACTACAAAAAGGTAAAAGACGACAAAAACAAATCTTTATTTCAATATTTAGCTGAAACTGGGGTCCTTGGTGGTTCATATAATCAAGTCAATGGCTACCAGCTAGGGCTGGGCAATTAATCGACATTCAGAACCTATAATCCATCTAATTTTTCCAGGACGATTTTTTTTCAATTACTTTCCCTACGAGTGACGTGACCCCGCTCTGTTAAAGGCTCTGGGTGATTTTTACTTCTTCACTTTACAGCCACATCTGATCTCCGGTCAAGTAGGACGATGGACTCTATCTTGAGCCTTACTTTGAACTACATTGACGATGATACCATTTAAAACTTTAGTGAAATAAAATAATCGTTCATTATTCATTATCGAGTTAAAATGTTCAATTAATCAAGATTAACATTTACCAGCACTTTGAGTCAAAACAACACATACAGCTAAAAATAAAATTAAAAATGGTGACTACTCCTGATGGTACACTGAAGTCTATTAAAGTCAAATGATTGGCTTGTGCAAGAACATAATTTACCGATTTCCTTTAATGAACAGCTTCAGCAAATGGTCCTGAGCTCATCCATAACAAACTGAAGCACAAGCCTCCAGTCTCCTTTAAAGATCTAGCAATGGTTTGCTGGGGCTGTGGATAGATAATATTGTAATGTTAATTTTTTTGCACATACCAGTCATTTCTTTTTATAAGCTCTCAATGTATTAACAGCAGCCTTTTAATTTAGTTTTGTCTGTATGTTGTTGATTATTGTAAAAAGAGCTATACAAATGAACTTGAACTAAATTGTTGTTTATTTGTTTACTAGAAATAATCACCTCTTGGACAGCCTCAGGGTGAGAACATGTAGTTTAAATTGATTTAAAATTAAGTAATTAAGTACTGTTATATGTCCTACATTTGTCATAATAACACTTGATTGTTTACTCGGATTACACATTTGCCTAGTTATGTCTGATTATGGCAGTGTGTTTCATTCACACACCCTCTTTTTTACGTCAGACTTGCAGTTTTTGTGGACAGAGTTTCATTTCATGTGTAAGCAGCCAATTTAATTGGATGAAAACACTGCTGTGGTTGCATTTCCCACTTAATCAGATTTCATATGTCCACACAGAGCACGTTCAGAATAAAAAATTCCCCAAAATACCGGCATTAACTCAACACGTGTCCCTTGTGTCATACCATATCTGTGAGGTTGAGGGAGGATCCAATCTCATCCATGTTCATTGTGAGGAACTGAATCCAGTTCTGGAGGAAGCCACGTGAGTGGTCGCCAGTCTCTACAACCAGGCCGCAGAAACGACGTCTGCCAGTTTTGTTGCGCAAAGCAATCTGAGCTTCACGTTCTGTTACGTTGCAACTGACGTTGATGATCTGAAGGATAAACAGGTGGAGCAGACCCCCTGTAATGATTACACTGTACCACACACATGTGAAGCACAGTGCTGTGCTGCACACACACACACACACACACACGCACACAAACATACATAGGCAAATTATAATAGGCTGAAAACACAGTGTGTCTTAAACATTAAAGCATTTAGCTATGGCGGTTTTTTCAAATGTATATAACAGATTCTAGTCAAAAATCTTCTCCCAGTCAATGACTTTTACTAAAATTGTGTTATTTACAACCCTGTTGGTAAAAATAGTTTTGATAAAACAGATTAAAAGTGAGGATTTATATATTAGCATAAGCAGGTCAAACTTACCTTTGCTTTTATTTTTTGCACTGGGATTTGTGCAACACTTTTTTGTTGTATGAGATGTCAGTAATCAGTTTTAATTACAATAGGCAAAAGAATGTGATTAATTGATGCCAGACAGGTTTCAGAGATGTGGTAAGTGGTGTAAGTGTGACGCTGGAGAGATATCATGCTTACAATCAAAGCTGAACTAGGTGAGCTAAATTGTCTGTAGTGTATGCGTGTGAATTATTGAGAGTGTATAGGTGTTTCCTAGTGATGGGTGCCAGCTGGAAGGTCATCAGCTACGTAAAACATATGTTAGATAAGTTGGTGGTTCATTCCACTGTGGCGACCCCAGATTAATAAATGGACTAAGCTGAAAAGAAAATGAATGAATGAATGAATGAATGATTGAATGAATGATTGAATGAATGAATGAATGAATGAATGAATGAATGAATGAATGATATACACGCAGGAGCGACACAGTGGCGCAGTGTGTAGCGATGTTGCCTCACAGCAAGAAGGTCGCTGGTATATTGGGTAAGCTAAATTGTCCAGTGTATTTGTTGGGCTAATGACCCACCTCGTAAAAATTAGATGTGATGAAACACCAACATGGTGTGGCTAAATATCAACTTCGATGTGAACGGCCCTGGGAGTAAATAAGTAAAGAATATAAAAGCTGAAAAATTTGGAAGTTTAGTCTATTATCCAATTTATGCTTTCTGTACCTAAACATTTAAGTTAATGCAATGAAGAGACCACATTTGGTCAACTCAGTTAATTGAGTTGTCAATTTCCAATAAACAAACAGAGGGAATCATTTTCCTCAAATCAAATCATTTGAGTAGTTTTAACTCATCAGGGTTTACAGTGTACTGCACTATTTTGTAAAAAGCTAGTTTTTCAGTTTTTGTCAAAAACTTTTTTTTAATGAAACCTATTTGCATTCATGTGGTGACAAAACACAAAGATAAAATGTTTAAAAGTAGAGGCTTGGTTCATTTATTTTGCTACATACACTCAAAGAAGTGTATATAGACTACTGTAATGCACTACTTATTTAAAATGAGCAGATTCAACACAATTCTTGAGTTTAACTTAATTCTTTTATGTTTAACCCACATAAATTTGTGAAAACAGTTAGGCCAACTTATTTGATTTGTGTTGAGACAATGTGAAGGCATTGCGTGGAACCCTGCATTTTTTTTTACAGTGTATGCATAGTGATTTTTATATATTAACAGAAATAAATCTGAGGGCAGTCAAATTTAGATAAAAGTCATCAAGGGCTGTGGCCTAGGACAGTTGTGGCCTATTGGTCAGTGAGTTGTAACCCAAAGGTTAATGGTTCTGCTCCGGGTGTATGCTCACATAACACATCACAGTGTGTGTTTGTGTGTGCTCTCCCTCCTCACTGTGTCCTCTCACTCCTCACTCAAACTGTGTTTGCACCTGGATGGGTTAAAAGCAGAAGACCGCTTTTGTTTACGGATAAAACCATACTTGACTTTACTCACTTCAAAAAATGCTGGCAATGGTAGGCAACTTTAAAGTTAACTTCCTTAAATGCAATAACTTGTGCAATATGATTTGTTTTTTTGTTCTTGTATGTGAGATTTAAGGCCTAGGACTCATGCAGGACTCTGAGTCAACATCAATCACTCATTAATATTTTTAAATGATATACGACTCACATTAACAACAAAAATCCAGTCTACCTGCTTACACTGCTGAATAAATCTGATTTATTTCCACATATGAATGAGGCATGAACCGATCTAAGTATATTGGAATCCATGTTATTTTTACTGCTTACATGTACATGGACCAAGTTCAATCTGCATAGGCCACATGAGGGGGGAAACAACTTGAATCAGATTCCTTGCTTGAACCATGTGCTGTAAATGTGCCCTATTAGATGTTTCTTAAACACAAAATAGCTTGCTGGCTAATGATCCTTGGTGGTTCTAGTGTTAAAAAAGGTAATGAGTTGTATACCTGTACTGGTTGTAGACTCCAGGGCAGTAAAGCATGGCTGTGAACAGACTCTGTTTTGGACAGATACTCCGCAAAACCAAGCTGATCCCATAGAATGATGTCAGCAGGAAGAGAAGGAGCGTCAAGATGAACTGTCTGTGATTCGCTTGGCCTACACAGCTGTTTATCCTGCCATGGAAAGACACAAAGACACAAAAGTCAGCAATCATGTGTGCACGCATGCAGACATTTTCATTAAAATAACTGAAGTTTAAAAAAAGTTGAACTTGAATGTGGTTTGATTGAGGATTCTGTGGTCTGTGGCATGTTTATGTTATCTGTGCCTCTGTCTGTCTGTGTGTGTGTTGAAGCAGCATGCAGACAGATTGGCCTGGTGAGAGCTTGCTTTACTGTGCTGAAAGCTGCGTTCCTGTGGCCTTTGCACATGTCTCACCAGCCTGCCCTGCTCCAGTGACGTCTTTGGGGAATCAGCTTGAACATATGCGTGTGTCTGATGGGGAAGTGTGTGCTTGCATACAATTGAGAAAGTATCAGAAAGAGTCAGATTACTGGCTTGAGCACCAGAGGATTGACTTACTGTATGATTAGTTTGAGAATTGTTCAACTTCTGTAGCAATGCTATGCATGAAGCCAAATAAGACACATTTTAAGGCACAGATACAACAATAAAATAAATATTACAAATCAAAGGACATGTCATAATTTCAATTATTTTACAACAAGCTCAGCCATAAAGTTATAATTTTTTTTAAATGGGACAGTGATGGCAAAATTACTAATATGTACAGTAACCCTAGACCACTGGTCTTATGTGGCATGGGTATATTTTTGGCAATAATCAAAAATTTATTGTATGCAACATAGGCTCATTCTGAAAACGTAGACCCATATATTTATTTCAAGGGATCGCAAATTATGTAGCCAGAAGTATGTATGGGGCGGTTTGAGTGCACTCCTTTTCACGCTTACCAGCTGACCGCTTACCTCTGTATGAACGGCTTTCCCACTCTTACCAGTTTGTCTGGTAGCTCGACATGTACATCGGCGAACTTAGGATGCAGGGTGGAGTTGAGCGAGAAAATGGGGCTCAAGTCCCGTAAGACAAAAAAACAAAAGCTAAAAAAAATAAATTAAACAAGTAAATATAAGGATGTGGTAATGTGGTAAAATCTGGAAACGTGGCAAAATCAGGGGGATTTTTCCTGGAATGTTTTTTAAAACACTACTGATTGGGTTTGGGGGGTGGGGGGTAATCGGTCAGTTGGTGAGTCAGTAAATTAGCTAACAGCAGCCTCTGGTGGATTTACACAAGAACAGCAGGCGCGAATGGCACTCGAGAGAGAAATTTGAGATCTGAAAAAGCGTACACATCGTCCTCTGGTGGATTTCCGAAAACAAAAACTGCGGTATTCTGATTAAAGAGCTACGTAATCAGAATGAGCCAGTATGATTTAAAACTATAGATTTTTTATCATTAAATCGTTAGACTATTCGGTAAATATCATGATTCATAAAGATATTTTATAAATGTCCTACTGTAAACATATTTTAAAATGTAATCTTTGATTAGTAATATGCATTAAACTTAATTAGTTCAACTTTAAAAGAGATTTTCTCAATTTTTATAAATTCTTTTTAAGTCTCAGATTGAACATATTGAAATAGTTGTCTCTCAGACAAATATTGTCCTATCATAAAATGAAAACAAATCATTCAAAAGAAAATAAAAAATTACACGTTTTGTGGTTCAAGGTCAAATATGTGTACATGAAAGCAGATGGCCATATCACTTAATTACCTAAATAGTTTTACGTGACACTTAAATTAATATTCATAATGATAAAAACATCATACTAGTAGAATCATATTATTAAATATAATAGGTATAATAATAATAATAATAATAATAATAATAATAATAATAATACAAGAATACAGACTTTTTATTATACAAGGCATATCATTAATTATAATTTATTAATTATACAAGGCATGTTATAGAAATATAAATGAATATATTTCACAATATTTTTGACATAAATGCATGCCTGATGAGCATCAGCTTTCTTTTTAAAAACTTACCAATTGTAAACTTATAGATGGCAGCATAAATACAGGTTATTTTGACATTTGCTTTTAATGCTAGTTCTCTCCACCCACTGTTCCCACATGCCTGTCAGTGTGCCTCAATCTTCGCCTTTGCTACGTCATATACACAGCACAGTGACAGACATGAAGGAAGCAGATCTTATGTAACTTTTGGGAGAAATACTACAATAAGAACTTTCCCAATGATTATTTGATGTATTTGTTGTGAAGGTAATTCAAGCCTTTCACACAACGTCATTATGAAGTTCACACACAAACATTGAGTGGACACACACTCAGAGTGCGCACATTTAACTTTGCACTGTTTTTGCATGGCAAATGTGACAGGATACATACACAGTAATATTGATTGCTGTATGGACACTGCTGTAACATCCACAAACCGGGATTGAAATGTTCATAATTGTACTGACATGGGGCTGTGGTGATAAAGACAGTAAAATCGCTGTAATTTATTGCGAGCATGCACTGTTTTAAAGTTTTTAACTCATTCTTGACTACATTTGACGATGATTGATGATCACAGTGAGCTGAACAGGTCTTTAAATCCCAGTTGTTTTGCGCACGTCCTGTCTTGTTGATATGATTATACCCGTTACTATAAAGACATGTTATTACACGGCTGTCAATCAATTCAGTGGGCGGGGAAACTGCACTCCTGCGTCACATTTAGGTGTACCTCTAAATCGGAGAAATTTGGATCCTATTTTACGTCAGAAAACAAAAAAATAGGCGTATTGTCTTTATATCACTCCAATATATAAACACACTATACCTACACACAGCTCTGTCCAAACAGCTTACAAAAGATCATTTTCATCATAGCTGCTTTAAAAATAAGTAAAAGGAACAAGAAACCCACCAAACACAGTGGTGGTCCATTCGTAGGACACATGCCCCACAGATTCTGCAGTGCCCCGCCCTTGGTGGGCGCACCAGTTGGCACACAGGACACTTCTTCTTCACATCCTTCTCTCCCTTTAAATGGCTGACTCCATTACGCAGGTCTGTGTCTAATGTTAAGTTTGTGCTTCGATTGGTTGCAAGGCTACTGTTGATTCCCAGAGCTAAAGACTGGGATTTGACAAAGCCCGGTCCCTGTTTGGTGCGCACAAGGGAGATGAGCGTCAGCATCATGCCCGTCGTTGCGGTAACCACCTGCAGATGAGTTACATCTCCTCTGGGGACGATCTCAGTCAGGAAAAGATAGTACATGTAGGCGAGGGAAAAAAGTGCCAAACTGAGGAAAAATAATGTGCGTCTTTTTCTTCTGTGAGTCATATAGTAATACCAAAGCACCAGTAGTGGAAGCGCTGTTAGGATTATAACTCCCAACAAGCAATTAATCGCTGCGACTCGCAACAGGCCAGGGATTAAAACCATGGGAGGTAAAACAGAGAGTTCCAGTCGAAGAGGTCCTACGGTGCAACATGACACACCCAAACGATCAGCCATACGAGAGATGAAACGCGAAAACACGTCTGGCTTGTCTGGCTCTCCTCTGAGTAACCTTATAAATAAAAATAGAGGAAAAACAGAAAAAATACAAATTCAATACAATTTAATTGACAATTGAATTAAATACAATTAAAAAGTACAGTCACAAAATGTAAAAACGGGTGACTTCTGAAGAGATGTGGTGCACAGAGCTCCAAATAAGTTTCAATAATCCTGCTTAAAATGTTTAAACTACGAATGAACTACAAAATGTACTTGCTATACTACATACATTCAGAGAAATATGCCGAATCCAAAGAAAACAAAAGGAGACAGTAAGAAAGAAGATAGTCAAGAAACAAAACTCTATTATGGTTCCACCCAAAAAAGAAAAAATAACAAGATGGTTACACCCTTTAAACGTTCATTCATTTTCTTTTCGGCTTAGTCTCTTTATTAATCTGGGCTCGCCACAGTGGAATGAACTGCCAACTTATCAAGCATATGTTTCACACAGAGGATGCCCTTCCAGCCGCAACCAAACACTGGGAATACACTCTTGTATTCACACATATACACAAAGGCCAATTTAGCTTAGTCAGTTCACCTATAGTGCACGTCTTTAGACTGTGGGGAAACCAGAGCAGCCAGAGGACACCAACGCGAACATAGGGAGAACATGCAAACTCCACACAGAAATGCCAACTGACCTAGTTAAGGCTCGAACCAGCGACCTACTTGCTTTGAGGCGATTGTGCTATACCCACTATGCCACCGTGTCAGCCCCCAATAATCATTGTTTCTTATTTACATATAATCACATCTTATTTACATATACTTATTTACATTTGGAACTCTGTCAGCTTATTTTATAAAATGTGAAACCCTGTGATTTCTTTTGTCGAGAGTCGAGACCTTACCTTCTTTGTAGATGGCCACATTTTATTACTTTACCTTTATTAATTACCATAATTTTGTATTGTTGTTTTATTTTTGGGGTTGATCTGGATTCGGATAAGGATAATGCTATAGTTGTTTACATACCTGTATTCCATTATTATTCTGTATGTTTAAAACCAGCGAATTGCATATACTGTATATTTACATGTCATGTATTTAAAATATCTAAAATATCTGCTTAATTAAAAACAAAATATGTAGAATACACTTTAAGTAACATGTCAAGGCAATGGTTAGTTTTGGAGAAATTTTTTGGGTGACTATAAGATTAGTTTTTGGGCGTCATCAGCATGTCAGCTCTGGCCAGGTCAGGCTGTCAGTGAGATAGATAGCTTTTATTGGCTGTTTTAGTTTGCCAATCAGGTCAATGCACAAGAAATAAAAGAAAAAAGAAAAAGATAAAAGTGAGCTAATTCTGTGACAAGGGCTTGATGTGTCAGTGTCTTAGCAGAAGACTGTTAAATGGGTCAGTCACAAGACACAAAGCACACTACTGTGCCACATCACATCTGGACAACTTTTGCACACTAGACATGTCAAGTTCAGTTCAAAACAGCACTCTAAAACAGTTGATTTAATCTGAAAACATGCAAAAGTTTACTTTAATAATAAAAAAGTGGTCATGGTGCATTTTCAGCTGTGATTGAAAAGACTGAGCAAACTGGAGGAAAGTCAGATCGATGTTATTGTAGTTCTCATACAAAATATACAGCTGAAGTCAGAATTATTAGCCCTCCTTTGAATTTTATTTTCTTGTTTAAATATTTCCCAAATTATTTTTAACAGGGCTATTAAGTGTTCACAGTGTGTCTGATAATATATTTTTTTATCTGGAGAAAATCTTATTTGTTTTTTTTTTCAGCTAGCATAAAATCAGTTTTTAATTTTCTAAACACCATTTTTAGGACAAAATTAAAAACTATTATGTTTAGAAATGTGTTGAAAAAATCTTCTCTCCAATAAACAGATATTGGAGAAAAAAAATAAACAGGGGGGCTGATAATTCAGGGGGACTTCAACTAGATTTGATAATGGTGCAAATATTATACTGTACACAATGTCTAAATGCTTCTACAATTTATAATCAAACCATAGTAAATCACATTGTGTGCTTAATTTCAGTCTTCTCCTCTAATAAATGATGCATCAAGAGGAAAACTCCAGCTAATGTAAATTAAAATACAGGCAGGTATTTTTCTAAATAACTTCAAAATAATTGTCAATGCCTATCAAAACTAACCCAGCAGGCCCAGGACGTCAACAATACATCAGATAGACGATGTACCCTAATGTCATGCTTGCATTTTGTTTGGAAATGAAAAATCAGGTTGACATTATAATACAATCAGGCTGACATCATGTCAGACAGTCAGATAGATGTTGCATATTAGGCCCTGTTTACACAGCCAGTTAAATGTGACCCAATTGCGATTTATTGCTCATATGTGACACGGACCAGATCTGTTCTATGATCGCGTAAACACGAAAGAAATGCATGCATTCGGATACTCAGAGATCAGTTTCAGGCCTCCTTCATATGTGGAAAAAATCTGATAGAAATGGGATATGTGACAATGTAAATCCGCAGATCGGTTTTATCGAGGTTTTTGTACGTCATTAAATTTGACAATGTGGCACTAAATTTGACAATGTGGTACAATGTGGTTTTTAGAGCGTTGTGGAGACGCCGACGCGATAAACAAAAACAACAGACTAAGCATTGTGAAGGAAAATGGTCAGTGGTCGATGATAGAAGTTACCTGCCTTCTATTATGGCCCTTTCCCTCCTCCTCTGCCTCATTTTAAATTTGGGCGAACTTTGCATATTTCGCAGAGCTAAAAGCAAAACAATTACTTCCATCATGGATATAGTGCAGATGCTATAACTTGCCTTTACGCATAGGCAAAGTTGTAAATTGTATGGCAAGTGTAAACACATTAATCTGATATGGGTTATTAAAGAACTAAAGAACGTGTAAACAAACAGGCAAAAAAATCAGATATAGGCAACAAATAAGAATTGGGCATCAAGACCTGACAGTGTAAACGTGAACTTAGTTACTTTCCAACGCAACCTAAAAACAACCAAATTTCAATATCTATTGATGTTACAGCTTGACGTTGTGTGAATGTTACCAATACGACATCTAACAGACGTTGGATTTCGGTTGACATACCTGGCGAATAAATGTGAGTATTTGACGTCAATATGATGTTGGTTTAAAATGTTTGCTTGACGTTGGATTTTGGTCACTTTTCAACACAACCTAAAATCAACCAAATATCAACATCATTTCAAGTCGTTACTGAATGTCAAAATAACATTGTCCTTACACGCTGTTGACCTAAATTTTACCTAATAACAACATATTGTGACGTTGAGTGTCTGCTGGGAATTTATCACTGGATGTCTAATAAATGCTAACCATAATTTTAACGGCCCAAAAGTTTTTGCGCTGGTGGAAGCTGTAGATAAAACCGGCCTATAGAGAGAAGAATGTCCATTTTTGGAAATATGCTCATTTTACAAGTCCCTTAAAGTTAATTAGTTGAGTTTTACCATTTTTTAATACATTCAGCTGATCATCCGGTCTGGCGGGAGCACTGTTAGCTTAGCATAAATCATTGAATTAGATTAGATCATAGCATAGCATCTCACTCTAAATTGTCAAAAAAGAGTTTTATTAATATTCCTATTTAAAACTTGACTTTTCTGTTGTTACATTGTGTAGTAAGACTGCTAGGAACTATACTCTCATTCCGGTTTAAGGGTCGAGGAACTTTGCTGGTGTACCATGACTGTATACTTGTGCAATTATATTACATAGTTCTTAAAAACAGTCTCTAGCTAGATAACAGCATTGAATAACATAGTATATTGTATATCGTAGTATAATAGTATATTGAGCGAGATGCTAATGGTCTAATCCATTTCAATTATTTATGCTAGGCTAAGTTAAAAGTGCTTCCGCCAGACATAGAGATCAGCTGAATAGATTACAAAATGGTAAAACTCAACTGTTCAACTCTAGTGGAGTGGTGAAATGAGCCAATTTCCAAAAGGAAATAAGGACAGGTGGAGTGTTGCTTTAAAGGTCCCGTGAAATTAAGGTAAAAAAATATAGATGGTAGTTTCAGGACGTAGCAGTGGAGTAGTTTGTAGCACGATCTCCTTACAGCAAGAAGGTCGCTTGTTCAAGCCCTGGCTGGCTCAGTTGGCATTTCTGTGTGAAATTTGCATGTTCTCCTCTTAATCGTGTGGGTTTCCTCCAGGTGCTTTGGTTTCCCCCAAAGTTCAAAAACATGCGCTATAGGTGAACAGAATGAGCTAAATTGGAAATAATGGTTGTGTATGAAAGAGTGTGGATGAGTGTTTCCCAGTGTTGGGTTGCAGGTGGAAGGGCATCCGCTGTGTAAAAAATATGCTGGATAAGTTGATGGTTCATTCTGCTGTGGCAACCCCTGTTTAATAAAGGGACTAAGCCGAAAAGAAAATGAATGAATGAATTAATGTAAGTTTCAGTCTGTCAGTTTTAAAGATATTAATTTGCTAGTTTACTTCAAAACAGTAACAAAATGTATGTTTCTAAAAAAATATCTATAAACATCCAAAGCTTGCAGTTAGTCACTTCTGCATAAATCAATCTTTTGCTAGTGATTTTTTCACATCACCAAGTTTCTCATCAAATCTTGAGCAATCAAATGCTCTTTAATATCAGACATGCGGCGACCCCTTCAAGATGCTTCTTCTTTGCTTTACATTTAAAGTGCTTGATCTCATCCACTCTCTTTGGCATAGCTATTTGCTTGTTCAGTGTGACTTCATGCGAAGCGGCTTCTGTGTCCAATCGCTCTATCAAACTGTATGGAGAGACTCATTAAATGGTAATAATAAACGTTTACAAAGCAATGTGGTACTTTTGAAAATCCTGATCGCAATGTATATATCCATGCCTAATATCTGATGGCCAGAAAGTGATTAGTTTTTATAAATTGTTAAAACTTTTGTATTTGTGATGCAGCGAGTCCAGAAACTGATGTGTACACTATGATTTTATAAAAAATTAACTTTAATGTGTGATAAAAAGTGACCATAAACTAATATTTTCTCAATTCAAAAGAGTAGCGGCTTGGACCCGGAAACAGTATTACTTAAGCGAAGACTTAACAAGCGGATGATAAAAAAATTAAGTCCTATTGGCTCTTTTATAAAAGAAAAGGAGCTACTCTATGTTTCACCCTCTCTTAATTTTTCAGCTGAGATTACATCAAACACTGTAAAACCCTTAAAACCCTTAAAAGCTTGTATGAAAAGATGTAGGTTCCTTTAAAACAGTTGACTTCTAACCTTTCGCAGGCATCGTCGAGTTCTTCACAGTCACAGCAGCAGTACTCCCTTTGCTGGTCGATGTCCCCACAGCAGCACAGAGGGTCATCTGGTTCTGGTGGCTTAAAACGTTCTCGTTTCATCTCCTTATGTCAGAGAATACCTGCTTCTTCAGGGTTAGATTAGATCACATTGATTCAAGTGAGTGGAAAGGATTAAATCAACTTGGAACAGAGTTGATTCAGGGCTGTTGGTAGTTTTAGCAGTTAGCTGACAGAACAGATGACTGCAGATTTCTCATTCAGCTCCTTTACTGGTCATCTGCTGCTCCTCACATCAGAGGCTTTGTGTAAAACACAGGCTGGGGGAAAAAAAGTATTAATCGTTACCAATAGAGCTGTAAATGCTTTCATTATTTCACAGTTTAAAAAACAAATTCAGGTTGAACTTGATATTTGAACTTGACTTACAAATCTATCATGAATGACAATTAATTATCATATAAATACATATTCTTCATTGACCTCTTTTTAATATGACAATTTACCAAGTATATTGATTCTGAAGCTTAATCTATGATTTGAGCAAGAAAGAGGCTTCCTCTGGTCTATCAAATCAAATCATTACCTGCACATTTATTTTTTAAATTAATTTAGCCAAATTAAAATTTTCCCTTTTTGTAAAAAGATGACAATAAATACATACAGTTGAAGTCAGAATTATTAGACCCCCTGAATTATTAGCCCCCTGTTTATTTTGCCCCCAATTTCTATTAAATGAAGAGCAGATTTTTCCAACACATTTCTAAGCATAATAGTTTTAATAACTCATTTCTGATAACTGATTTATTTTATCTTTGTCATAATGACTGTAAATAATATTTGACAAGATATTTTTCAGGACACTTCTATACAGCTTAAAGTGACATTTAAATTCCTAACTAGGTTAATTAGTTTAAATAGACAGGTTTGGGTAATTAGGCAAGTTATTGTATAACGATGGTTTGATCTGTGAATTTTCGAAAAAATAGCTTAAAGGGGCTAATAATTTTTACCTTAAAATGGCTTTTAAAAAATTAAAAACTGCTTTTATTATAGCCAGAATAAAACATCTAAGACTTTCTCCAGAAGAAAAAAATATTATCGATATATAGTTAAACATCATTTGGGAAATATTTAAAAAAGAAAAAAAATGTAAAGTTTGGTGAATGTAAATTTGCCAAAACCTACTACAATGTAAAAAAACTATTTGATCAATTAGTCCAGACAGCATATGTTTTTATGTCATTGTAGCTTATTAATCTAAGTTAATCATGTTTAAACTTAATTTTTAACTTAAGTTGCGCAAGTCAGTTAAACATAATATATAAAAGTTCAATGAACTCAAAAGATTCATTTGATTCAGCTTAAAAATGTAAGGCAACCAGGGTTTTTTTTTACAGTGTACACAGTAAAAACCATAAGACAAAAAAAAATCATGACTACAAATCTTTTTAAGATACTTTAACTCAATAAAAAAAAAAAAAACACGTCTGTAGTCAACTTAAAGAAGGATACACTCCTGGGTAAATGGAGGAAATGGGTTGAATATATTTTAGTTATAAGACCTGACTTTGTTGCAATAAACAAATAGAATATGCTCAACTGATAGATAAATATATGCTAATGTGTTGTTTATATGTATATGGTTATATATATTCATATTGTGTTGTTTGTAATCCCCATGTATATGAAGATGGTCATTTGAGATTATTCTGGAAGGAAATATATATTGACATGCGTTCACACAATAGTGCTTTACTTTTATAATTTTTTCTTCTGTTTTTGTTTGTTTGTTTTTTATGCTATTGCTTTTATAATTTAACAAAATTTGAGTACTATGTATTGTTAGTACACCTGACAGGAATGTACGTAAATTGTATATCACTTAAGGTCACATATTGAGATTCAAATGTACCTTGAAATGTTGTATGATTGCACTCAATTGAGTGTTCACAATAAGCATAAAATAAAAAAGTTACTTTAACTTATTTTAATAAGTTAACCAGACTTCAACTACATCTTTGCAAGTTATTTACATGTTATGCAAAGTTTAACTTAATCTTTTAAATTGGTTTAGCTGATATAAGTTGAGATGACTATAAATCTACGTTTGATTCAACAACAAAAAAAAATGTACGTTTGATTCAACAACAAAAAAAAATGAAGTCAAGATTTTTTTACAGTGTAGTTTCAGGTCACAGAGCAACAGCACATCTGACCCAGCCCCTGTCTACCTCCTCATGAGATCTGACACTGGCACAGACATGCTGGAAAGCACATTCAAGTATTATGATTTGCATGTAGTGTTATATTAACATCTGAATCTGCTCTTTGTCTCTTTGAATTAAGGCCATCTGATGTCCCACGTGGCTCACATAATTGGGGCATCAAAAAACTTTTTCCTGAGAGGCCACTCTCCATCACAGTTGCTGGATGGAGGAAATAATTGAGCGGCATGTGTTTGACATGTTCCAAATTACATTTGTTCCCAGGAGCAAACAAAAGGTTTGCCTTTGAGTGTGAGGTGATTTAAAATTAACCATGCATAGGATTGTTTTAATATCTGAGGAGGACTTATCAGACTTAGTTACGTTTAAAACCTTTATCAAAATAATATTAACATAAGTTTTTGTTACCTATGGTTTCCCAGGCTCAGATGGAACTGCATCCCACAGGAAGTTCTTCCTCTGTTTCTGTTGGGTTGTCGTTAGTCCATAATCGGTGAAGCGTTTTTAGTCAAGGAATAAGTCACTCCAGCTTTTTTAAATTAGGTATCAAAAAGCCATCCTTCTCAAGTACTCTATCTTAAGTTGTCCTCTTGATCCAGTTAAATTTTCCTGTCAAATAAATACTTCCGTCAGAAACGCTTTCAAAATTCCCTTTCGTTTCATTTAAGGTCATAAATGTTAGCAAAATATATTGAAAACCATACATCTCATGAGTTTCCTCCTCAGCAATCCCTCCAGCCAACAGAAAAGTGCGTCCTTGTCGGGTTTATCAGACTGTGAGGTGCCGCTGGTGAAGAGTCTCGGGACTGTCCGGAAGGCAGTGATAGATACTCTGCGCTCTCTCGCTCCTCTCATCTCTCTCAGGCGCGCGAGAAGGATCTGTTTACGAGCGTTGTTACCGATTAGGGCTGGTGGCGGCGTTGAGAAAGGAAGTTGGCAGGTGTTACCGTGACAGCGACAACGTGAAGCGACGAGGAGAGAAAGCAGCCCGCATACCGGGCATAACCCGCGGGCCAAACCAGGGTCACACACAGAAGCCTTGTCACCTCAGATTTTAACCTCTTCTATTGTTTTAGGGTTACATTTTATACGTTTTTGAGAAGTATGGGTGTTTTCTTATTGATTGCTATAGGCTATTGCATGCAAAAGAAACGAAAGGCAGATTTTAGTTTAATGGAAATATCCATTTAAATATAGTCTATATGTATTATGTGTTATATCAAATTTAAAACAGTCATGGAAATTGACCCTTCAGTGAAGTTTTTATTTTGTTTTAACATGTTTATTGTTAAATTGATTGACTGATTAATTGACTGTAAAATATTTGAAAATGATCGACTGTACATAGATCTTAAAGTTTAGGCTACCCCATATTTTGTACACAGTTTATTTACTCACTTGCTGCCCATCAAACATCAAAAAATTATATTTGTTGTTTGTTCAAACTACTTAACTAAAATGAGCAGAAACAACTAAATTCTTGATGTTTTTGGGGACAACTTCTATGTTTTATGTTGAATCCACTTAAATTTGTAAAACCGATTAAGTTATTAGTTGTGTTGGGACAACATGAAGAAATTGTTTGGAACCCTGCATTTTTTTACCGTGAGAATGTAGGTGACTTTTTAATATTACAGGGCCTTTTTTTCTCAAAAATTGCTAAGGGCCCCTAAATCACTAAGTCTGCCCCTGGTTAAGGGGTAGCTCTGTATATATTTCTTTAGAACATGCAGCAATTGTATCTGTACATATTTACCTGCTGATGTTATTCTTCACAAATAAAAATTACATCTCATATTTAAATGTGTCTATGCCAACATACCATTGCATCATGTTTATTTGTAATCTCAAACACATTAAGTTCATTGGCTGTCGCACTTGCTGACACATTGGCACAGTCAAACTGTGTGTATTGACACAAATTTCATGAGTCTTTTAAATACTTGTGGTATTCCCTAAAAGGGCCCCTAAGTTAAAAGCCTCTCTATGAACCACAACAAACCACTTGCCAATGAAACCACTAAATCACTTCTCACTAATTGTAAATCATTTGTTTAAACTACATATTTAGAATGAGCTGAGACAACACAATTCTTGAGATATTTTGGGAACAACCTAATTGCTTTATGTTCAATCAACTTTAAATTGTCAAAACCAATAAACTTAACTCAAATATTTTGTGTTTTCGCAACATGAATGAATTGTGCGGAATACTGTATTTTTTACAGTATACCTTTTTACACAAGGCAGGCAATATGAATGAGAATGACAGCCCTACTAATGACTTTCCAGAACCATTGGCACTTTAATTTCAGCTTTTCTCAAGCAGTCGACCAGGTGTGCTACTGCTCATCCAGCGAGATTTTTGCAAGTCAGCCATCTTAAGTTTCCTTCGTGTGGTCCGCAGGTGCTGCGTGATGGGACAGCTAGTGGTCCCTCGTGAATGTGAACATGCTGGAGTTCCCAATCCCATCCCGAAACAAAATACTAGCTTCTACTGCAGAGCCTGGACTGCCGCTGTCCTTCTAAACGGTACACATGTCATCAGATCACTTTCAATGCTCATAAATCCTCCAGCCCAAACTTGGTTGTATGTATACTCAGCAGTTGACACATGGATCTTCAGCAGCCATATTTGGAGGTGAGGGTCAAGTTATGGTCAGGGCGGTGCAATAGTTCAGACAGATGTGAATGTGTTTGATGTGGCCACACCTTTTCAGATCAGGTTTCATGTCCAACAGGAGGACATAATGTTCCCTCATAAACCCAGCGCAGGTCACATCACACTAGACACCTGTTAGAGGCAAAATTACACTATACTTAATAAAGGAGACTACACAATACCACTGAGTTAAGTAACTGAATAAAAAGTAACACACGTACTGTAAGAACTTACAAGATACCACAATGCTTTCTCAGGTGCTTCATTTTGCTGATAAAACAGTCTATAATATTCATACCGTGTTCTTCTGCTATGACCTCATCATCCGAGCCACAACGAAATAAACAGATTACACAAGCAAAATATGAGGAATTTATCTCTTCTTATGGGATTTTATAATCTGCTGATTTGAGTTCTGTTCTCCCAGTTGGTGCGTAGGAGCTCAGGTGTGCTTTTGTTTGTGCTTGTGAGTATTCCATTTGAGGAGACAATTAATCACGAACCATGTTTGGTTGTTCATTGAAGCTAAAAAGAAAAAGCAACCATAAAGACAGACTACAGGGAATGTAAAGACAGTTTGTCCAAAAGGAGAAATTCTGTAAAACTTGAAATAACTTATTTCCATGGAATTACAACAAAAATGAACCTTCAAATATTTAAAGCATAATTTAAAAAAAAACTACAAGACATTCTGATAACATTTATGTAATAAGCTCAAGTAAAAGAGATAACAATGTGATAACGTGAGCATTAATCATCTTAATCAAACCTTTTACAAAAATAAGTAAATAATTGAGGGGTGGCATGGTGGCATGGTGGCTCAGTGGTTAGCACTGTTGCCTTATAGCAAAAAAGTTGCAGGTTTGAGTTCTGGCTTGGTCAGTTGGCATTTCTGTGTGGAGCTTGCATGTGATTTGCTCACAGATGTCTTCCACATAGTCCTCTATCCGCTGAGTGACATTATTTACTGTACATTTAAAGAAATCGGATGAATTTAAGCATTTTGACAGATTAACTTAAACATAAACAGATTAATTTAGACTTCTTTTGTAGCTCAGTAATAAAACAAACAAACAAAAAAATGTAATGTAATGTAATGTGTATTTATATAGCGCATTTAATGTGTATGGCAATACACCCAAAGCGCTTCACAATCATGAGGGGGGTCTCTCCACACCACCACCGGTGTGCAGCATCCACTTGGATGATGCGACGGCAGCCACAGGACAACGGCGCCAGTGCGCTCACCACACACTGGCTATTGATGGATTTGAGAGACAGTGATAGAGCCAATTTGGTGGAAGGGGATGATTGGGAGGCCATGATCGTAAGGGCCGATAGAGGGACTTTGGCCAGGACACCGGGGTTACACCCCTGCTCTTTCACGAGAAGTGCCAAGGGATTTTTAATGACCACAGAGAGTCAGGACCTCGGTTTAACGTCTTATCCGAAAGACAGCGCCCACTGACAGTGTAGTGTCCCCTTCATTTTTACTGGGGCATAAGGACTCACATAGACCACAGGTTGAGCGCCCCCTGCTGGCCTCACTAACACCACTTCCAGCAGCAACCTAGTGTTCCCTAGTGGTCTCCCATCCAGGTACTAACCAGGTTCAGCCCTGCTTAGCTTCAGTGAGTAACCGGTCTTGGGCTGCAGGGTGATATGGCTGTGGCAAAAAAAAGGCTTAAGTCAAATTAGAAATGACGATCTCTGTGTTAAAGGCATTCGCCCCAACCCTCTTCATCCTTCACTCTCTCCTCTCAGATGGAACGGTGGGCCAAATCAAAGGTTACAATAGGCCAACTTTGGCCTGCGGGCCCTACTTTTGGCATCTCTGGATTAGGGTAAATGAAGAAACATAGAAGAATAAAACAAACTGTGAAAAAAAAGTCTAAATATGATGGACAAAATATGATTACTTTATGATAGGATTCAATAAATGAATAGTTTGACAGTTCTCAGAAAGTAAGACCTCCTGATTATTCACCCATTCATTTTCCTTCAGCTTAGTCCCTTATTTATCAGGGGACACCACAGAGGAATGAACCGCCAACTACTCCAGCATATGTTTTATGCAGCGGATGACCCTCTAGCTGCAATACTGGGGAAACCTCCTACTTAAATAAAGGTAAATAATATTATTGAGAAGAACTGTTTGAAGATCTAAAGAACATTGTATTTCATGAAGAACCTTACGTGGAATTTGAAAAGACCAGCCTGAGTCTTTAGAGATTCTCTCTTTCTCATGGCATTTCGTACAACATGGGAGTGAGTAAAATGACTGAAGATTCATTTTTGGCTGGACTATGCCTTTAAAAACAGCCATAATCAACTTAACAAAACATTAGTGTGTAAAAATATCCTGCGGCACACAGGCTCTGGAGTCTTATCTCGGATCTGTCATGATAGCGCAGCTCTTACTGTAATGTCTTACAGTAATGTAGTTGGTATTGAGCTTCTCTGTGGAGGAGGCTAAAAGTGAACCGGAACTAACTGGAGGAGTGTGTTAAAAGCCTGAGTATGATTAGCGCTCACACACTCACACACTGCAGTCGACCTTTAGGCTTAATGCACTTGGTCTTAATGCAGTCTGTCTGTCTAATGCATCTATGGGTGTAGCCTGTTGTCTTTCTTTGTCTGACTGAGATGACATAATGATCCGGAAACTTAGTTTATCCATCAACGTTATGCATTTGATGTCTGATAGAGCAAATTGTGTGTGCCTATTTTTGCAGCGACTGCTGTATTTGCTTTACACACGCCTTGTAATAAAATCATGGGTGAGCTGAACAGGCACTGAAAGAGCAGGACGTGACGTGGGACTCTTTGTAATGATCAACTGTAAAACAAATGACTTTATGCTTGTATCCTGCACATTAAAATAGCATGAGCCGTGCACATTCAAACTCATAATGGCCATGGGTAAAAGCTTTTTTAGGAGACGTATTTCCAAACAGTCACAAGTCAGCAAGCACTCAGTGAACAATTTACAAATGTAGCTTGATTGAAATATACACATATAATTGCCTGCCATACACTGAAATGATGGGTGCTTGTGTGTCAGCAAAATAGAGATGGGGAAACTTTGCTTACAAGGGTTCTCAATAACTAAATAAACATAATATGACCTATATAATCTCTTACAACTTCTTTAAAGCCCATAAAAGGCTGCTCATTATAATAATAGACTGGACTATAGAATGTGATCTGTAACAAATATTTGAGTAGACCTAAAAACACAGAAGGCATCCAAGGTTATTTTCACTGCAGTCAATACGTCCATTTACATTTGAGTGAAACAGCCAGACTATTAAAAAAAAAACAATGCAGGTCTCTCCACTTACCTACACTGTAGAAGCCATTATGGCCGCTACGTTGATGAGGACATTTAGAGCCAGAGTCTGCGCAGTAATGATCATGAGCTGTGATATCAATGTCCCATTCAAACTCCCGCAAACCTAAATAAAAAACATACAATCATGACACAACTGCTTTTATCGGACAAAAGAAAGCAAATGTATTTTAAATTTGTTTTTATTTACGTCTGTGTGATGATAACTATCTAAAATATCAGACATCATCTTTGGGAATAATTTATCTAAACTATAGTTTGATTTTGATTTATTTATTTTATTGTTTAGCTTGTATGCCACTGGTTTTCATGAGGAAAGTGAGGTTTATGAGCTATACTGCAGCCCGCCACTAGGGGGCGAGAGAAATTCAATTCAAGACGTGTAAAGACCTGTGAAAATGGTTTAAATGGGGTACAAACCAAAAATAGAAAATTCAAGGTTGACTGAAAAGCAAATTAAAATGAGCATTGCAATTGACTGGGTGGGTTTTGTAAAGGCAATGTTATATATAGAAATCTTTTGCAAATATATCGTTTTTTTGCAATTTTTTTTTTTTGCAGTTCTTTTTGTTTGCAAATTTAATTTTTGTTTCTTAAAACTTAATTTTCCCTTTGCAGCTCTTTTTTTGTAAGCAAAATCATTTCCTAATTCTCAAAAATAAATTTTCACTTTGGGATTTTTAGAGATTTGCATTTATTTATTTTTTTGCTCAATACTTTTTTTTGTTCGCAAAACCTTCTTTTATTTTGCAAGTTTAAATGGCCCTAAATTGACTTCATAGGATACCAAGGTCATTGCAACACCCTAAATTCTGCACTGCAGCACCAAACATGTTCATCGCCTTAACTGTACACTTTTTCCTCCGTTGCTTTAATGCATTTTCCTGATCAGAATTGCTGTGCACATCATAAAAGTAGGGTCTCATTCATTTGAACAAGTTGTGATTGCTTTGGAACGCAAATGCAGTTATGCTGCTTAACATTTGTTATATATTTCTCAGTGATCTTACTCACCAAAACTACACTCACCGGCCACTTTATTAGGTACACCTGTCTAACTGCTCGTTACCTCAAATTTCGTATCACCCAATCACATGGCAGAAACTCAATGCATTTAGGCATGTAGACATGGTCAAGATAATCTGCTGCAGTTCAAACTGAGCATCAGAAGAGGGAATAAAGGTGATTTAAGTGACTTTGAACTTGACGGGCTGTTCTATTTCAGAAACTGCTAATCTACTGGGATTTTCATGCACAACCATGGTTAACAGAGAATGGTCCGAAAAACAGAAAATATGCAGTGAGTGAAAGTTCTGTGGTTTCAAATGCTTTGTTAATGCCAGAGGTCAGAGGAAAATGGCCAGCCTGGTTCCAGCTGATAGAAAGGCAACAGTAACTCGAATAACCACTCGTTACAACAGAGGTATGCAGAAGAGCATCACTGTATGCACAACGCGTCAAAAAGCAATGCCATGAAAGATATAGGCGGTTCTGAAGGCAAAAGGGGATCCAACCCGGTACTAGTAAGGTGTACCTAATAAAGTGGCTGGCGAGTGTAGTCATTACGCAGTTCATTGCAAAAGTTCTTCAATGCTAAATTATTAATCTAGTTGTCATAAACAGTAAAACATTTGCCATACATTGTCCAGTTCTCTAAAATAGCTCAAAGTTACAGCTCATTCACTCACTCACACATTAATTCAGCTTATTTCCAGCTTTATCATGGGTTGTCACAGTGGAATGATCCACCAGCTCGGACTGAGGACAACACAAGGAGACCTTACAAGGTCTCATAATGAATGAACAACAGGGTCAACAGTTGAGAGGAGGAAGAAGAGGAATAAGAAGAAGAGGTGTAGAGAAACATATCGCTGTTGAGGACATAGGGGCACATCTAATGAAATAAGGGCCACTATAGTTGTCAATCATGGCCTTAAAATGGTGGAGGACGTGATGTGGAAGAGAAAATGTGGCCTGACTAACTGGCACATCCCCTGTAGATCAAATGCACTGCAATTGCTCATACACAGAGCTGTAAAGAGAAGGAAAGTTCTACTGAACAGGTGTGTGCCATAATAATTTAGCATTATAAAGCATGGTGAGTGTACAAATCTTTTATTTATTTATCTTTGGTCAGACTACTAGTCATATTGTAACTTCTATCTGTCTATTTCAGTCAATTTTCCACAATGTGTAAACTTGTACTTTTGAAATAACCCATACAAAAGGCATCTTTATGCATTTCAATAGAGTAAGTTGTCATCCAAACTGTTGCCATAGTCAAATTTGCAGAGTGTGCTGTTATATCTTGACTTGGCATCCTTCATTCATTCATTTTCCTTTAGCTTGCTTAGTCTCTTTATTCATCAGGGGTCGCCACAGTGGAATGAACTGCCAATTTATCCAGCGTATGTTTTACACAATAGATGCCCTCCCAGCTGCAACCCAGTATTGGGAAACACCCATACACACTTATTCACACACATACACAACCAGAGAAAACCCAAGTCAACAGGGAGAACATGCTAACTCCATACAGAAATGCCAACTGAGCCAGCCGGGGCTCAAACCAGCAATCTTCTTGCTGTGAGGCGACAGTGCTAACCACTGAGCCACCGTGTCACCCGACTGGTTTATGAACAAACAAGAAAGAAACAAGTTCTTTTGATCTTGATGGCATTGATATGTTCATTGAAAATTACTTTTGAGAGATCTAGAGAAATTGTTTTGGGAAATCCACATCCTTTTTTTTTTTTGAGAAAGGCACCGAAGTGACTGAGAAAAAACAAATTAAATACATTTTCACCACTTTAATTGAAAAGTTTCAATTTTAGTAATCAGCTGCAGCTTTGGTTTTGAAAGAGCGTTCTCCTAAAACTGCCTTGACAAGATTCAGATTGTATACCAGGTGACCTTATTATTTAGTTTGCTGCGTTGCTATAACCGCACGCATCTTGCGTTTCAAATATTCCACTCTCTAATCTGTCCATTCCACCACTCTTTACATTGAGTGAAAGAGAGTTGAGTTTCAGGCTGGTTAGCATCAACTCAACACAACATACCACATCCATTTGTCATCAGTGCTGATCTCCCCATAATAGACTCTGTAGACACTTTGTAGGCTCTAGAGGGATCACATTGCTCTAGTGGGAGATTTTAAGCCAGAATCTAGAGAACAGAATAAAGACCCATCGACAACAGACAGACGGACGGACGGACGGACGGACGGACGGACGGACGGACAGATAGATAGATAGATAGATAGATAGATAGATAGATAGATAGATAGATAGACAGGCAGATAAAGAGATATTAGGTGTACAATTAATGGTATGTGGGTGGACAGGGACTAAAGTGTGCATGTGTTGGTGTGGGAGGGGAGATAAAGTGTAACTCTTGTCAGCTTGGTGTCAGAGACTGTGACACTTCTCCCAGACAGAATGGCTTTCTTCAATCTCTTAGCTTCTAGAGCATTACTTAGTCACCTTTTCCACCCTGCCCTTCCAGGTAAGACTATATTTTCCTCTTAGCGGTAATAGCTTTCTCATTTCTAATGACTTATATTGACACACTGAGAAAACTAAAAATAAACGAGCATACTTCAGTTTTTTCCTCTCTGAACAAGACATTATTACCATGACAAAACATCATATAGACATGTGTAAATGCCAAGCAGGAGTAACTGAGTGGTTTATGGTCACAAATCTTTTATACTAAACGTTTACTGACTGTTTTACAGCAGCTTGACTTATGTTTATGGAAGCAGTATTTTCTGAGATATTAATGAGAAGACATGGCGTATGAGAGAGAAACCCGTAACCATATCTTGCACTATATTGTACATCAGTGCTGTGTTTACAACATATTAGTCATATCAGTTGAACATTTTTGAGTTCACTGAGTGGAGTAACGTCAAATCGGTTTACTATTAGCCTTGATTTAGAAAATTCATTCTGAGCTGCTAAACTACCGTTGACCAAATAAAGCAAAGGTTGGAGGATTTACCATGCACGTAGGAGTTTTGATATTTTAATCCTTGCGACTTTTGAGTCTCTAATTTTAGTAAAGGACTTAGTGTGACCATAACACTATGCAAGCCCCTGTATTTATAGTGTGAGTGTGTATATGTGTGAATTTTCCTTGATTAGTTCGAATGTTCTTGAGCGGTTACTATTGCATGTAAATCATTTTCATGTTTGGTTTTATGTTGTGAGATTGAGTTTAGCTAATTTCATATTATTTGTTTGCATAATATACATATTTAATTTGAGGTTTCCTCTTTTATATACATACTGTACAGAGGAGATCAATATTAGGGTCAGGACACCCAGAGCAGACAGTTGGCCATTGGGCTTAGTTGGGTAGACAGTCTGTGTCGGTCTGGCTAGTTGGTTTGGTGTGTTCCACACGTCACCTCTCATTGGGTTAATGTGAGAGCTTGTTGGCCCGATTCAGCATGTTGAATCAATGTCAGCTGAAGAGTGCACACTGATTGGTTAATCAGTAAGGAATCAAAGTGCAAGAAGATCTAGCTTGTAAACAATTAAAGTCTGAAAAAAAACACAAAGTGGCCGGCTGTAATTTTGCGACACTTCACTAATTTTTGCATACAATATAGATTAATAGATAATCAGACATGTTTACAAGTACTGTGAAAATGGTACTAAATGCTACTTTGTTTACACTGTGTGTGTCAGAAGTTCCAGTTTCTTTTTGTGGAACAACAGGACAGATTACTGCCCATAAACATTTTAATTTCTATTATAATATCTATGGCTGGAGTTAAAAATGCCTACTACTCTTATAGGTACTAAATTTGAATCTGAATTTACTACATGACCATTAGAAAAAGAATGTTCTATTCAGTATGAATGTGAGTAGTATGAATGTAATTCAGACATACTACATCTGTCATTTGTCATTGTCATGTAATCTACCTGCATCAGCCACGTCACTTCACTCCTGTTCATGAATGATTTCACGTGGTATCATAGCATAACATAGTATCCATTGGATATACACTTCAGAATCTAGCCGGAAGCTGTTTATCAAATGCTATGAAGTCAGACATACTATTAAGCTCAAATACTGTTTTCAGTATACTATATAGTAAGGAAGCATGCTATTTCGGACACAACCTATGCCTTTGGAGAAATGTAGAACGTGTGACTGATTTCTGAAAATCATGAAATCATGAAATCACCCTAATGACATACGAGTCTCCACATTTATCCTGTGGGCTCGCCTGCACCTGCCGGTGACCTACTCAGATCTGCAGCTTGACCACGATGGACAGCCAGCGTTTTCAAGCCTCCAGAGCCTAGACTGCAGCACTGCACAAGAAATTTGGCCAGAGGACAACTGATCATGCCAAACTGAGCCTGATTTTTCTGTTGTTTTTTTCATTACTTTTGTCAATTGGTAAAGTTTGTTCCTCGCTGCAGTCACCACTGGCTTGCTTGGTTTGGGACTTGTGGAGCTGCGCATCGATGGATCTGCTCTTCAGTGTTTTGGCTTTGAGCCGTAACATTTACATTACACTGAATTGATCTAAACTGAACTTCTAATCTAAAAACTGGACTGTGGTGGTTTCAGTTTAATTGAACTTCTACGTTAAGCTGCTTTGACAATCTACATTGTACAAGTGCTATAAAGATGAATTTAATTAATTTTGCAGTTGCGGAAAGACAAATCCCCTCACGTTGGTGCAGAACAATGTTTGGTGCGTTCATGCACAATTTTTGGGTCAAGATAGGACCAAATGCTAGCCAACTTGTGGCCACAACACTATTAGTTTCCATCTGTGCTAGTTCTTTGGCATCAGCTTATTGTACACAACCATTTGGAAAATCTACAACTTGCTGAATTTCGAGGTCACTGCTTAGTCCTATTTGAATAAATTTCCACACTCCCCAGGGAAATGGTGAATCATTTCTGAAAAAATAAACTGATTTCAGACTAAATCAGTCATAATCAGTTCGCAATATGCATACAAGGAATATAATCAGGATTTAACTCAAAATGAAAACAAAATAAAAGTTACTGAAGCTATAGTTTTCAAATATGGGAAGTAAACACATAAATGGTGGAATCTTATATAAGACAAAACTATAATGGATGTATGAAATTATGAGAGAATATAAAGATGATCTCATTGTTTACATGGCTCTACAGGCTATGCAGTATAACTTAGCCAAATATTTGTCATCTTCAGAGTGCTCGGGTTGTTCACTGGTTCTTTTGCCACATCACAATTCACATCTCCCATAATCTACAGTTATGCTGGCTGTCTTGGAATGCTGTTGCACCTAGTGTGTTCATCAAACACACTAGGCATGCAGTGACTTGACATTTAAGATCATTTGACATTGTAATGTGAAGCCCTCTGCATTAACCAATCAGCAGAAAGAATCAAAAGGCCAGACTAACCTTTGCTGAGGAGCATGTTGTGTAGACACACACAAAAACTGGTCCAAATTTCACATTTAATGATGAATACAAGATTAAGTAATTTAGGTCCGATGAGAAACCTGTTCATCATAAAACTGGAATGAGACTGAGCCAATAGCGTGAGCAGAAATCAGTGAATGGTGGAGGAAAGAGCATCCTGGTTTGAGGGATTTTTTTTCTGCAGCAGGGGTTTGGCCACTTATACAGACACATGACAGAAAGAGTGCAAATGTTTATCAGAAGCTTCTTCTACATGTGATTCTTTCTCTGTTTTCATCATCAATTAATCAGCAATTTCCATGCAGGACAATGAGCCTGTACACATCAAAATGAATAAAGCAGAAGCTGAAAACATTGAAATAATAAAGTGGCCAGCCCAGAGTTCTGATGTCTACCAGATTGAAATTCTTTGGGAAATCCTTGGCAAAAGAGTTATGACTCTAAGAGGAAGTCTAAACTGTTGAAAATTTTGAAAGAAAAGTGAACAAAAGCACAGATGAGGAGTTTGAGAGGCCAAGGATGTCCTTTGGCCGCATATGTGCTAAAGTCATTGAAAGCTAGGGCCTCCAAACCTCCTACTCATTTTTGATCGCTGTACTATTCAGAAGTTCACAATCTTTCTTTATGCTTTAATCTTTGCTGTTCTCTTATTTTGATCATAGTGTTTCCTTCAGATTTTTATACAATAAAAATTAAGTTTTGATAAACTGTCCTCTTAATCTGATCTCTACAGTAATTATTAATTGTATGATCTTTGCACAGACAAATTTCTGTTCTTTTCTTGGCAGCTGGGCTCCTTTCTCTCTGTTTGCTTGTAAATGCGAGCATCATCACCAATCACACTCAAACACCCCTCACCATCCTCATCACATCTTCAACAGAGCCTTCACCCGCTCAGCCTGATGATTATCCTTCTGATCCTCAGGGGGCGCTGTATTTACAACAGCCTCCAAAGGCAAAAGCTGTGGAAGGGAAGGATGTGGTGTTACCCTGTTTTTTAAATAAAAGTGATGTGGATGAAGCACATGCTGTGGAGAGGGTGAGGTGGTACATGAAGAATGTGGAGGGACGGAGGACTGTGCTGAATGGAAATAAGACAGTGGGGGACGGGTTTGCCGGCCGTGTGTTTCTGTCTGGTGATCTGTCAATGGGAGATCTTTCCCTGACATTGAGGAACATTTCGGTGGATGATCGAGGCCTGTATCTCTGTGCGTTCATTTCAGGACACTCGACTGTTGTTCAGGGAACCGGGACCAAACTCAGCATCCGTAAAGAGATGGGTAAGAGAAAACGAAAAGAATTTCTGCAAAGAAATGAGCTAAAATAGCAATATCACCATAGATCCCTTCATTTATTACTTAAACAAAATCTTTCTATGGGCTACAAAAAATTGTGATGCATGTTCAGTTCACACAAAACAATTAAATTCTATCATCATTTATTCACTCTTCACTTGTTCAAAACCTATTGGAGTTTCTGACAACTGTTGAACTCAAATAAAAGACGTACTGAAGAATGGTGGAAAGCAGGAGCTAGTGACTTCCATAGTATTTTTGTTCCTACCATATGGATGTCAATGGCTACCAGTTTCCAACAATATTTCAAACATGCCACTGCCTACAAAAAAGTCTCTTTGAGCTAAATCTGAAACTCAACAAAGTCGGATATTTTTTACTTCTTCAGCTGAAAAAGTGCAGTTTTTGCCATTTACAGACATCGAACTTTCTGCTGCTACGAGTGTGATATTGTGATTATACAACAGTTCGACGGCATAATTGTGCATAAAACAGAAAATCAAACATAGGAGTCTAAAAACCCTTTTTACGAGGAACTAGTTTCTTCTGCCATTCATTCACATCTGCAGCTAAGAGTCAGAACAGCAGAAACTGTTGCCAGATCACAAATGTCACTTTAGAGCTAGTATTTGAAAGAATCTCTAGCATAATGTCTAAAGTGATGACAAAACAGGTCATTTTGGCTGACATTTGGAGATTTTAAGAGTAAACGGCATGAAATGCCATCAGTCTGCAGAGATTTCCTAGTATTTTTCTGTTGCAATCGGGAGATCACAATAATTAACCCTGAAAAAGCCATAGTAAAACAAACACTTCCAATTTCTGTGGTGTAAATACAGCACAACAACAAACAAAAGAGAACGCTCGACCCAGAATATTACTTATCTGATTTATTGTTTGTTCAGCTGTAGTTTAAAATTTATGCTGAAAAAATTTGTTTTTCTACCCTAAGGACTTATAAAGCAGCATTATGCGGTATTATGAGGTCTCTGTCACCATCTTGTGGTGAAATGTCAATCGTCACTTTCTTTGGTCTGCTCAGACAGGCTGACGATGGCCGATGCACTGAATCCGATGCTCCAAAATTGTAAATATTTAAAACATGCACTATCCTTATAAAGAAACTGCATGGTTGCAATTTAAACCACTACATTCTCAACAAAAAAAGCCTCAGGTACATTATGTTGTCCAACAGCTGCAATATTTGTCAAACTGTAGAGTGTCCTCTATACTGTAGGAGTGCTGTTATTTGCTTAATATCACACAAATATCAGCCAAAAGGATTCAAGAACTAGACAGAACTGTTGTAAAAAATGCCAGTATCAGGGTTTATATATATATATACAGTATATATCCGCTTAAATTATTATTGTCCACTGTTCTGTCATCATAAGGCCAGTGGATGGCGGTGAGCCCAGGCGCAAGATCCTTTTCATCGCTGCTTGTTTAGTATGGTGAAAAGTACAGCACAATCAAATCAACAAATAAACAAAATCAAGCACATATATAGTTAACCTGCATTTATACAACATATAGAGTATTTTCAAATTAATATAATTTGTTAATATAATAGATTTTGATCTAATTGAATCTGATCAACAAAATAACTTAAGACTTAAAGACTTGAAATAAATTAAATCTAAACCGACTTTTAATAGCTAAATGTTGACAGAACAAGCTTGAACTAGGTGATCACTAGATGACCACAGTGGTAATCTTTGAAAAATATGTATGAAGTATTAGAAAAGCAATTATATTTGTTTGAGACTGTTAAAGATGACTGATAGTATAATGTTTTTTCTTCAGGTTGGATGGAAGAGTCTGTTGGCATTATAATTGGCATTACTGTGGCAGTAGTTGGCGTGGCAGCAGGACTGGTTGCTGTGATACTGACTCAGTTCAAGAACAAACTTAACTGCCTGCAGAAATGATGCAGGAGCGAATAGCATAGAGTACAGTGGTTTCAGCAAAGGCCAAAGGTAAAAGAAAACAAACAGTACACTGCCAAGACCTGACCAGAGCGCAGAGAATGACCGCAGTGAACGGGGAGACCTTTCACTCAGCCCAGATTGTGAATGATGATATATATACAATTACATACACAGACAGATCAAGTGACCCCCTCAACATGTACACCCTTAAAAATAAAGGTTCTGAAGGGAGTTTCTGCACTAGGGCCACTGAACAGCCATTTCTGCTCCTACAAAGAACTTCACAGTGATCAGTTCTTACAATACGTTTTCTATGAAGAAACGTTTTATAGTCTAAAGAACACACTTTTCTGCTTCCAAAAAGCTTTAGCTGAAGTTCCCATTTGTGTTGAGGGTTCTTTGTGGAAACAACTACTGTATGTCATTATCAGTGGTGTAAAGTAAAAAATTACAAATATTTGAAGTACTGTAATACTCAACAACCTCAAGACATGGGTGCTTTATAAATGCAGCAAGCCTTTTGAAAGCATTAAAAGTGTCCAAGATGATGTCCAAAATCTAGCACTAAATGCACTACAGAATGTTACGTTTACACACACACACACACACACACAAATTACATGTAAACATATCAGCTTTTCACAATGTAATACTCAATACTCTTACTGTAAGTATTTTTAAAAGGGCTATATTGACCTTAAAATGGATTTTGAAAAAATAAAAACTGATTTTGTTCTGGCCAAAAAAAAACTAATTAAAGCTGCAAGCAGCGATGAAAGGGACCTCGCACCCAGGCTTACCGCAGCCCAGTGGCCTTTCATTTTGACACTATATCAATTTAAGCTGTTTTATATAATAATAAAAAAAAACAAAGTCACTGATTTATGCCAAATTTCCTCTTGTCAGCAGGTGGCGCTATGACTGTGACTCAATATTGGAATCGAACATGAGAATTTTTAGGCATAACACTTTCTCTAGAAGAAAAAATATTTTACAGACATGCTGTGAAAATGTCTTTGCTCTGTTAAAACATTTGGGAAATATTTAAAAAAGAAAATTCAAAGGGGTTTAATAAATCTGACTTCAACTGTATCTGTTTAAATGCTCCGTTTTTTTTTTTAATGCTTTGTTTTCATCTATATGCATGAGTGCATGGTTTTAGTTTTAAAGGGATAGTTCACCCAAAAAAAGGAAATTCTTTCATCATTTACTTACCATTGACTTGTTCCAAATCAGTTTGAGTTTTTTGCTCTGTTGAACACAAAACCATTGACACATATACATATATATATATATATATATATATATATATATATATATATATATATATATATAGTAAAACAAATCCTATGGAAGTCAGTTACAGGTTTTCAACATTCTTCAAAATATCTTATTTTCTGTTTTATAGAAAAAAACTCAAATTGGCATGGGAAATTTAATAGGTAAGCAAATGATGACACAACTGAAGTTTTTAAAAATTAAAATACAAAATGTATTGACATTTTTTTTTATAATTTGCTGTTGATTTGCTCAAAAAGATCTCTATATCATCAAGAGCCACAGTTGTTAATTGTATTTTGTCTGAATATGAAGAGTTCAGATGCAAAAACCTCTAAAAGCCATTTGAAATTTCCTTAAAATAATTTGCCTTTTCATCAGACTCCTGCATGTAGGTTCAGTAATTCCATGTTTAGGGGAAAGAATACACTCTTTTAAAGTTTTTAAAATGATGGAGCGTCACGATGGCACAGTGGGTAGCACGATCACTTTGCAGCAAGAAGGTTGTGGTTTGAGCCCCGGCTGGTTTGTCAGTTGGCATTTCTGTGTGGAGTATGCATGTTCTCCCTGTGTTGGCGGGGGTTTCCTCCGGGTGCTCTGGTTTCCCCCACAGTCCAAAGACATGCTGTACAGGTGAATTGATTAAGCTAAATTGGCCGTAGTGTATATATTTTTTAAAGACTATGTATGGTTGTTTCTCGGTGTTGGGTTGCATGCGCTGCGAAAAACATTTGCTGGATAAGATGACGGTTCATCCCGCTGTGGCGATCCCTGATTAATAAAGGGGCTAAGCCGAAAATAAAATAAATAAATGAATGACTTGTTTGATGTCCCTGTTGGTAAGAAAATTAAAAGGAAATGTACATTTTTGGGTGAACCATTCCTTTAAAGACATTTTTTATTCATTTACAATTTTTATTTTTTTAGTTTCATAATGATGTGATACCATCACCAGATCAGAAACAGATCCTGCATCAGGAGACAACATGCAATATGTTTACTCTCAGGAGAAGTCAGCTCTAAATTCTCGTGTGCTTCAGTATTCTGTTTTGATTAAAAAAACTTAATTAAAGTTCCTCATTTTCACCTGCATGCCTTCTGTAAGATCCACCAGGGCCTTCGCTTCAGAAATAGCCAGTTGTAAACTGTTTTGGCTGTACGGTTTTTTGTCTCATGGGCTTAGGCTTATTTGCTGTGAAAATCACTATCTGTCCTTTTGACACAAATAAACAAGTTTCATAATTCACATCGTCTCCGGTGACTTGTGTCTCATGCAACTACACCACAGCCTGACAAATTCCCACAAAGCCAACGCAACACAAGGCAGTCTCTGAGCAAAGCAAAGCTTGTAAGCGTGGGTTGTAACAACTCGACATATTTTTAAGACACTGAACATCGTGGTTGAATTTCATTTTTAGAATTGTACTAACACTGTAATGTGTATTTGCTAAAACATTGAAAAGAACTGTGACATTAATCGACGAGACTGACAGTGACCAATGTTGTGTTTTGCAAGTCGTTTCTGATAAGGAGGTAAAATTCCAAATGTGCGAATATAAAACCAACTTTATCTAACTACTTGCTGGGTTTGATAAATTTTACTGCACAACAACTATATAAATTCATACTAACCGTTCAGAAATGCCTGGTAATGTCGTAAGCTTTGCTCTTCGTCTCCATCGTTTGTTCATCGTTGCTTGACATTCACTTGAGTTCTTGTTACTCTAGTGTCACAATAGCGTTCAAAGACGCCGCCATCTCTGGCTATTATTGCAAACAGCCGCTCATTTTCATAGACACACAAAAAAGATGTGGGGCAAATTTCACAATATCTAAGTATTTCCACATTTTTTAAATGATCTTTGGAATTTAATCTTTAAAAACACATTTTGGAGACACCAGAAATTTTACATCTAACGATAACAATTTATGATAAATACTCACCGGCCACTTTATTAGGTACACCTGTCCAACTGCTCGTTAACGCACATTTATAATCAGCCAATCACATGGCAGCAACTTCATGCATTCAGGCATGTAGACAAGGTCAAGACGATATTCAGCACTCCAAAACTTCAAACCAAGCATCAGAATGAGGAAGAACAGGGATTTAAGTTACTTTCAATGTGGTATGGTTGCTGGTGTCAGACTAGCATTAACTGTTGATCTACTGCAATTTTCATGCACAACCATCTCTAGGGTTTACAGAGAATGGTCCAAAAAAAGAAAAAATATCTAGTAAGTGGCAGTTCTTTGGGGGCAAATGCCTTGAGGTTGATGTCAGAGGTGAACTAAGAATGGCCAGACTGGTTAGAGCTGATAGAAAGGCAACAGTAACTCAAATAACACTCGTTACAACAGAGGTCTGCAGAAGAGCATCTCTGAACACACAACACGTCCAACCTTGAGGCGGAGGGGCTACAGCAGCAGAAGACCACATCGGGTGCCACTCCTGTCAGCTAAGAACAGGAAACTGAGGCTACAATTCACACAGGCTCACCAAATTTAAACAATAGAAGATAGCTAAAACGTTGCCTGGTCTGATGAGTCTCGATTTCTGCTGCAACATTTGGTTGGTAGGGTAAGAATTTGGTGTCAACAACATAAAAGCATGGATCCACCCTGCCTTGTATCAACAGTTCAGGCTGGTGGTGTAATAGTGGTTCTCAGACTGGTTTCTTGACTAACAATGAGTTCACTGTACTCAAATGGTCACAGTCATCAGATCTCAATTCAATAGAGCACCTTTAAGATGAGGGAGAACAGGAGATTCACATCATGGATGTGCAGCCAACAAATCATGTCAATATGAAACAAAATCTCTGAGGAATATTTCCTGTACCTTGTTGAATCTACGCCACAAAGGATTAAGGTAGTTCTGAAGGCAAAAGAGGGTCCAAATAAAGTGGCCGGCGAGTGTATGTCTCCTTCGATGACAATTATGTTGCGTAATGTTGGGTCTCAAAGAGTTTCATGGCAGTTATAATTGTATATGACTTTTAAAGACATTTTAACACCTTTTTATTAACATAACTTACATCTGTAAATATATTCATATTCACAACAGACTCAACACTAATCCTTAAAAAATAACTGGTTTCTTTTCTATTAGTTTTCATTAATATATTAATAGTAGTCTATTACATTACTTTAATCAGATTTGTTTTTAAAATGTATGTTTATTAGCTCTAAATTTTTTACACAAACTATTCTTTTGAACTGCATGTATAAGTTTTTACAATAATATTAACCAGAAAAAGTGTGTTTAAGCACTAAATCATCATATAAAAAAAAACAATTTCAATAGTAATGATGCTAAATAATCAGATTTCTTTCAATTATATCTAATTATTATCAAAGAAATGCAGCCTCAGTGTGCTTAAGGGACTTCCAATTACATTGGTTTTTACTCACCGCAAACAATTAATGACAATGAATTAATGGAAATTATCCATTATGGTTTTCATAAAACAGAGTCATTAAACAGTTTCCAATAATTTAATTCTTTGGAACTGAACACACAACAACACGCACAATAAATGTACCACTACTACAGAAGTCACGATAAATCTACCCACACACCCCTGCACACTCCAGCTCACATACACACACACACACACACTCACATGAGAAACACACATAGAACAGAAATCACATCAATGAGACAAAACAAGACTCAAATAAATAAAGGAAGCCTCAATGATCCCTTTCTGACTTCCGTTGTTCCCATTATCATATAACACATCTTTCATTGGTCACAGAGAGAGAAAGAGAGAGAGAGAAAAGGAGATGGAAATAAACACTGTGCTCCCCTGCACTCCTAACACATGCAATGAGGACTCGTGGGAAAGCAGGTGGTGAGAAAAAGAGATGAATGTTTTGTGGGTTTTTTTGTGCTCGAGTCTCAGCACAGAGAGAGATCACAGATGCTAAAATACAATCTTACAGCTCAAACACACAGTAACAGTTGC